AGATGACTTAGGATGCATCACTATAGTCCAGAGTGTAACAGTTCTTGATGCTTTACTATGCCAGCTTCCTTCTGCCTCAAAGGAGCAGGCATCTAGGATCAAAGGAATCTTCTTGAAATGTCCTTCTGAATATGGCCACCTTCCCCATTCCCTGCCCCATGAAGAAAAATCTTTGATGATAATCCAATAATTATCTATCATAAATAGTCAATTTCCTAGCTTAGAATTTAAGGTGAAAAAAAATCTGATGTCTACCCCGCTCCAGCGAATTTGGGTACATTTCTTTATACACTTCCTGTTCTTGGGCCTTGTCCACTCTCTCTTCAGAACATTAACCTTCACCTTCCTCATCTCTGCTTATGGAAATCTTAATTGCTCTTCTGAGCTCCACTTATGTGTTACGTATTATTTGATCCCTTTGTTGATGACTTTAGCCAGAAAATTATTTTTGCCACCTCTATAGTATTTATTGTCAAATAATACTATATAATAATACTACCTTATATACTTTACATTTTTTTGTCTTCCATAGTATTTATTTGAAAACACATGATTGTGTTATATAAAGGCACGTTGAGGCTCACAAGTATGATCTAACTACTTGGGAGGTGGAGATTAGGAGGATTGAGGTTTGAGGCCACCTGGCTAAAAGGTAGCAAGACCTTATCTCAAACAGTAAGTTGCATGTGGTAGCACCTATCTGTGGTCCCAATTACATGGGAGGCCATAGGTAGGTGAATTGTGGTCCATGTTGGCCCTGGGCAATTTGCAAGATTCTTTCTAAAAATAACCCCAAAGCAAAAGGGACTGATGGTGTGCCCAGCAAGTTCAAAACCCAGTACCTCAAAAAAAAAAAAAAAAAACAAAAAACCCAAACAAACAAAAAAACCAAAAGACACAGAAATCAAAAAATGACCAGGTTCTAGATCTGCAAACTCCAAGTCTACCAACTTTCCCTCTCTCCTTTCTACCTCAGCCTTTGTTGTGATTCCTGTGAGTGACACTTACTCATTTAAGAACGTTCTCAGCACTGTGTCTGAGCTGTGTGGCTCAGACTACAAGGAGTTGGGGAAATTCTGATTTCGAGGCAGCTCAGAGCTTCCTCCTCAGTAACCAGGAAGCTTCCTTTACGATGGTGGTGGAAACCAACATTTCATCATGAACTGCAGGGAGGATAAGATTTGAGACTTGAAGATTTTTTGTTTGTTTTTGTAGCTCTGAACTCAGGGTCTTGTGCTTACTAGGCAGGTGCTTGAGCCGTGCCCCACTGTGTGTTTTTGCTTCAGTTATTTTTCAAATAGAGTCTTGCATTTTTGCTCAAAGTTGGCCTCAGACTACAGTCGTCCTACCTACAGTCTCCTGCATATTTGGGATCACAGGCCTGGACCACCACACCCAGCTTTTTCCTTGATATGAACTCTTGCTAACTTTTTTCCCCAGACTGGCCTCAAACCATGGTCCTCTCAATCTCTGATTCTTGAGTAGCTGGGATTACAGGCATGAACCATCCCACCTGGCCTGAAGTATTCCTTGAAACCTCTGTTGCCACTGAGTAGAGAGAAGTTTAATGAAGGAAACTTTTGCTTAAAAAGTTATCTGTGGTTCCAGGAATCGCAGGAAGGGGGATGAAAGAGAGCAGCTGAAGGGGTGAGTTTGAGTATGAAATATTTGATACATTGTAAGAACCTTTGTAAATACTCTAATGTACCCCCACCCAGCACAACAATAATAAAAAAAGTTATCTGTGAAAAAGAAGAGCTAATTCCGGGTGCTTTATACTTGTAAAACGTAATCATAATTCAGTTTGTAAAAGTCAAGACTTGTGTCATTCTCATTAATATTGAGCCAATTTCAAATATTTTATTAATCTTCCTCAGCAAAAGTTTATTAATTTTTCTTAACAAAACAAGTGGAATTCACTAGTCCTATTAAAAAATGGTGCGTTGAGACCAAATTCCTTGCTTAAATGTGTTGTCAGCTGGGCATCACTTGAATGTTAGGAGTGAAGTTATACCAAAAGGATTGGATAAAGCCAGATCTGGACAGACGTAGATACCTTACTTACTCTCAGGTTCTCCTTGAGACAATGGAGAAGCATTTTATATTGAGAAGGATGTATTTTGCTAGGGCATTTCATGTTCTAGTTAATAGTTTTTAAAAATACTTTATTTTTTTCTTATATTTTTCTGAAATTACAAGTCACACACTAATTGTGGGGAGGGGAATATTTTTGGTTTCCCTGGAATGTTTCCTTAGTCCTTAGCTTATATTGGGACTTCAAAAATGTTGACTGAATGACTAAATTAAAATATTTGCCACATATATTTTATCAGTGAGTATTCAAAGAGAAGAATGATTCTAGGTATGAAAATAAGAAACATGTGGAGATCAGCATTTTAGCTGTGTAATGGAAGTGACTTTTACTAAAGCACTCTGCCACTCTTCCTTCAAAATAATTAGCATGCAGATTAGAATTCACATAGCATGCCAAAAACTCGTTGTTGTATAGATGATTATTTGTGCGTAGGTGGTGTTTATGTGGATTTGCAGATGTGTTCAGAAACCCTTGATCTATGGGGCACTCTGAATAACCTGCCTGTATGCACAGATGAATTACATTTCATTCTCCCATTATTTTGTGCCACAATTGTATTTTGCATATTTAAACAGGTGTACAAAATTTTCCAGCAAGAATTACATTTTTGAGAAAACAGCTTAATAAATTACCTCACATTTGCAATAAGTAACTTTAATGGGCTATCTAAACAAAGGATATAGGCTTCATGATTAGCCATACAATTAACGTTTCTCAGATGACTAAGGTCTGAATGAGGTTTTGAAACCAAAATATCCCATGTGTGCAATGCACGCCTAGTGTGAGTTACCAATCCACCAAGTGAACACAATTGTGTGAGTGGTCTTTTATTTTGAGGTTTGGAAAGGAGGAATAAATCTTTTATTTTGGAAAGATTCATATCTAACCATTGAGGAAAAAGAACTAAAATTCTCTTCTGTGTGATATTTTGTTATACACATGAATATGCAACAGCATATAGACATAGCTGTAAATTTTTAGAGGAATACCAGTAATTTTCCTTCTGGATCTATTTCTATAACAAGCATACAAAATGGGGAGAGGCTTCAATTCTTATGAAAGTTTCTTAGTCTAGTTCTGAAGTTTTCTAGCAGATGATGGAAACAGGCTTAAACAATTTTAACTTCTACTTCTTTCTTCTTTTCTATTTATCCTTACATACAAATGTTCAATCAACAAATGCATATTTTGAAAATATGATTCATCATGGAGACAGTATGCATATTTCAGTGGGATCAGGAGGGATAGACAGCAGAAAAAAATTCTTAATTTTAGTGTCGGAAAATTTGGAAGGACAGCTCTGCCTGCCATTTGCCATCTGTGTGACCTTTTGGCAAATGAGTTAACCTCTTGTTCTCAATCCATCTGTGAAATGCCTCAAATACCATAGTTAACAGTCTTTAAGGAAAAGTTTATTCCATTCTATTTTTCATTGTCCTTATAAAATTTCCACTGTAACTTAAAGCAAAACTCAAATAAAATCCCTCTCAAGTAAACAAAACTACTTTTGATAAAAATAGTGTTTGACAAAGTGATTTCATTAGCTGTAAGAGGTTGTGTAGTTTGGAAAGCTGTCTTCTGAAAGATGTCAGCATACCATGGATACACAGATCAGCATAATTCTCATATCATTTACAGGTAAATTTCTATCTTAAAATATGTGCCGATTCCACTGATGCAATTTTTTTCATCCCACATAAGTCATTTTCTCAAATGTCCACATTTTCTGGAGAAAAGGTGTAGTAGGATTGAGAAAATCAGGTGGGAAGGTGTGCCAATGCAGGAATGTGGCAGATTAGGAAAAGTTTCTTTTTGCAGTAGAAAACACACATTCAACTTCATTCTAGATCCAGCAGATCTCCAGTCCATTTAACAGGTGGGGAGGAATGGAAATCACTACTGGATAAAAGAAAAGAAGTAATGGTTAGATTTGAGACCCGGCTACCGAATCAGATATTGTAAAATGTCAATAGGATCTACTGACCAAGTACATGGAACTGATTTGAAACAAACAGTAAGGAACCTCTTCAGTTTAAGAGCGGCCAGTAGTGCAGAGGATGTAGTTCAGCAGGCAGAGCTCTTGCCCATGGCATGTGGTGCGTGATTTCAGACTTCTTGTTGAATTTGCCATTTTTTTTTTTTGTCACTTCAGGCTCTTTCAGATTTAGACCTGGTAAGTCTTCCCTTACTCTGTTTCTTTCCTGTTACATTCTTCCTCCCTTAATACCTACTAAAAGTGGAAGATGCTGTCAGGATACATTTGGATTTGAAGTGTCTAGGAGATTATCTTTAACCAAAGAATACGATTATGCAAATTTTAAATATTTCACCTTCAGCAAGCAAGCTTTCTTTTTCCATGGTAAACTGTGACCACTCTATAGAGAATTTTCTCCAAGACTGGGTTTTCTTTCTTTTCTTGTTCACCTGGCTGCCACCTGTTTTGCTCTCTTTGTCTCTAATCTCCTAGCTAAAATTTTAGAGCATATATTTCCTGTGGAGTTCAGCAGGCCTGGTTTCCAGTGTCCACTCTGACACTTACTGGCTTGTGACTTGGATGATTTCTTGTTCTCGCTGAACCCTGTTTTAATAGAGTTTTACCTCTTGAGGGGGTGGTGAGAACAGAAACAGGAAGTCAGTGCTAGTGGCCTGTTTCCTGCTTAGGGCTATGCTGGAGGACATATGAGGACATCTACATCCAACAATCAGAGAAACCTGGGAAGGGCTTCCAGCCCTCTTGCATGAGAAAATTTGTATTCAAGGAAAAGCAAGCATCCTGGTCCACTGAGCTCAACAAGTTCAAGGTGGTTTCCATTCAGTTAAGGATTAGACCTTAACTGAAATCTCTTTCTTAAATAACCAGCTCTGCCCTCTAAAAGAACCTTAACTGACTGCTGCCTTTCACCAGTTTGAACTTCAGTGGATGCTGATCCATTGCGATCCCCTGAGACCCACGAGAGAAACTTGCCATGAGCTGCCCGTCAGAACAACGGTGAGTACCTTGGCGAGCTGCAAAGCCCACTTCCATCCACCTCGCCCTGCTCCACTTCACCAGGCCCCTTCCCCTTTCCCATTTTCATTCTCTAAACAATCTGCACTTTACTGCATCGACCAGTCAGGTATTAAGAAAGCAGGAGTTCTGACTCATAGGAAACACTCATGGTGGGTGTCTGGCGATCCTTTTGTTGGGGCTCTGCAGACCAGTTCCCAAAAATGTCCCCAGAAGTCTACTCGCCTACAGTGGCACAGGCCACCTGGGAAGACTCCTAGGACCGCAGCCAGAGGCAGCCCTGGGGCGGATGGGGCAGAGGCAGAGCTGCAAGCTCAGGTCTTGCCTGTGTGGCCGCGAGGAAAGGGTTAAAAGGGACTGTTGTCATTCTATCCGAGCTCGCTGCTCTCCTCCAATCCCCAGGACCCTCTCTAGGGCCATTCATAAACAGAAGGAACGTGAGTCTCCCAGCCGGGGCACCTTCGCAACCACTGCTCGTGGGGTGGGGTGGGGTGGGGGGAGCTTTTTGCGGGGCCAAGTGCGGATCCAGAAGCCTGGCTAGGCGTCAGGCTGCAGAGAGGGGCCTGGGGATTAACCGAGTGCATCAGGCATGGCCTGGAGCGCGCGGGACCGCGGGGCCCTCGGCCTGCGACTGTTGCTGTCCGGGCTCTGCTTGTGTGCGGCTCAAGTAAGTTGGGTACGACTTTGCGGGGACATCTTCTCAATTTCTCTTCATCTTTTCTTCTGCAGCCCAGCCAGACTACCGATGAGGTAAGCTGAGGGCAAAAGGCGTGTGTATTTTCCCCGGCGCGCACAGGAGAGGTGGCAGCGCGGCCGTCGGGGTGGCGGTGCGGAAGGCACCCCGCATCCCCAGGGCTGTCAGACCCGCACTGCCCCCCAGCCTCCAGCACCTGCAGCGAGGGCGTCGCAGTCTGGGGCCTGGGAAAGGGGACCCCGTTCCCCACTTGGGCCCCAACACTGAAGACTCAGGCATCAGGGCTGAAGTTTTAGCCCAAATTGCTGCTTGCCTCCCCTCCCCCCATCGTGGGCACAGTCAGGAGCAGGCCTTGCTGGAGGAGGCAGAAAGCCAGGCCAGCTCTCTCTCCAAGCCCTTCCAGCCCAAGGTGGCCGCAATAGACCACGAGTCCTGCGGGTGGCCCCGGGATTGAACTCTGCAGCCTCGGATCCCACCTGAACCTCAGCCGCGTCCCGAGGTTCCCCGCCTTCTCCTCCGCCGGGCGGGGGCGGGCGGGGGAGCTGGGCCGAGGTCTGAGGTTTCTCTGACAAAGACCCCATTGTAACCTGCCGGGTCGCTAGAGTTGAGAAAAACAACGTTTTCCTTGATGAAAGAAGCTTTCTTCTCCCTCCCTCCCGTCTCTCTTTCTTAAATTCAGAATTGGGGAAAAAATATCGCACATTCCCTAAGCAAAGAGCGCTTACTGTTTCAGGCGCCAGCATCCCCTTGGGCCCAGCTGTTTGTGGGCGATAAAAGGGGTCGCACCGGTAGGGTCAGCCTGGGGTTTGGTGCAGTTTTGAAGCAAGGTGCAAAGACCTCGTGCAAGGGGATGTCAATGCAGGTAGCACTGAAATAAGACCAGGCACTGGGTGTCAAGCTCTCCTGGGGATGTAAAGCCATTCTGTAACCAATCTGGTGGGCGTCCCCTTTCTTCTTTGTTCCATTCTGGCCAAAACACCGACCTGCCCTTACTTATTAAATACAGATATCAGATGACCCCCATTTTCCCTTTTAGTCCGGTTGGGGACGTTGGACCCTCCTTCTTCACAATCACCCTTCTTTCTAATGCGCGCACTGGGAGAAGGGGAAACCCAGTGGCTCCTGCTCCAACTCCCTCATTCCGAATATGGCAGCCCCGAAACCTGCTGCAAGTTGGAAACACATTTATTATGCTGGGCTTCAGAAACTCAAAGTCTTCAGGGAGCGACTTCCCAAGGCGGGTTGGGGCATGCTGCGCATCGGTTACACAATGGGCTCCACAAACTCTGTGTGCTGTCTTCCCAGGAGGTCCTCCAGGCGAGCAGGGGCCTCCCGGGCCTCCAGGGCCACCTGGAGTTCCGGGCATCGATGGCATCGACGTAAGTTTCAATATTGAGGCTTCCTCGGGTCCCCAGTTCTGCTTTTCCCTTCCCTTTTTCCAGTGGCTGGGAATGCTGTTTTTAGAGGGTCAGGTGTCTCCCTTCCTGTCACCCCTGAAAAGTCAGAACTGGGTGTGGACGAGGAGTTGAGTGTTGATACTACAGCCTAGGGATTATCAGAGATGTAGTCCTGTCTCTTGTCCCTGATGGTCATAACCCCCCATCTTCATCCCTAAATCTGTGATTAGCATGCTGCTTGAGATTGTCTTAGAGGGGACCCTAGCTTCTCCTACTTAAGTTTGTTCTTGTCTTTTCTTCTATGCTTCCAGGGTGACCGAGGTCCGAAGGGTCCCCCAGGGCCTCCGGTGAGTTGATCAGCGCGGTAGCGCTCCATTTTCCTTCCTTTAGGTGTGCTTTGCAGCCACATGTGTCCCAAGAGTCTCAACTTTGCAACTTATTCTTTTCCAGGGTCCTGCAGGAGAACCAGGAAAGCCAGGAGCGCCGGGCAAGCCTGGCATACCAGGCGCAGACGTGAGTAGGGAGAAAGCTGGAAAGCTTGTCCAGCCTGCAGAGAGTGTGTGTGTGTGTGTGTGTGTGTGTGTGTGTGTGTGTGTGTGTGTGTGTGTGTGTGTGTGTGTGTATGTGGAGAGAAGAGAGAGAGAGAGAGAGAGAGAGAGAGAGAGAGAGAGAGAGAGAGAGAGAGAAAGCTGGAAAGCTTGTCCAGCCTGCAGAGTGTGTGTGTGTGTGTGTGTGTGTGTGTGTGTGTGTATGTGGAGAGAAGAGAGAGAGAGAGAGAGAGAGAGAGAGAGAGAGATAGGAGTGTGTGTGTGTGTGTGTGTGTGTATGTGGAGAGAAGAGAGAGAGAGAGAGAGAGAGAGAGAGAGAGAGAGAGAGAGAGAGAGAGAGATAGGACCTGGCTGAAGATACCGCCAGGTCCTAGCACTTCCTCAGAAAACAGCAAAACAGGACCTATGTTACAGGTTACTCTCTAAAACAGTCAACTCCCTTCATTCCTTCAGCTCTCAGTCCCACTAAGGGGCATCTGGAGCAAAGGAGGGTGGGGCACAGGAAGGGGGTGAGTGGCTAAGGCTCACAGCAGGTGAATTATACAAATGGAAATTATTTAACTTGTTGGCTGTCAAACTCTGAAATTGAATTACTTGAAATTGTCCTGCCATAATAAAAATGTCTGATAAATGCAAGGCAATTAAATAAACTAGTAGCTTAATAGAAGTTGAATTTTTTTCTACTTTTCTTTTGAAACTTTAACCAGCCTATTAGATGAAAAGAAAATTTCGGATGAAATTTAAACAAAAATTTTGGTAGTTGAAACAGAAACCAATCACCCAAAGTTTTCTTTTGCTATGGAGCCCAATATATTTTCAGACAGAGTGGCAGGCCTATCTGTCCCTGTTTGTTAATTATTTTTGAGACAGGGTCTTGTTGTGTAGCCAAGGCTGGCCTGGAACTCACCATTCTCCTGCCTCACTGAGACTGGAGAACTAGTTCCTTAGTTTAAAAGTCTTTTGAAGCTTGCTTAGCAACTTCTCTGCCCCATATCATAACACCATGAAGATAATCCCTAGTTGCCTTTTACAAACTAATTTCCCCACAGCAACAGGTATTTTGGGTAAACAAATGAAAGGACTTTGAAATTTATAAAAGTACAATGTAAAAAATCACAAGTAGTTTCTTTGTCTATATTTTCAGTTCTACAGTGTAAAACAAACCACATTTTGGATATTAAAAATTGTAAAAGAATAAGGCCACTGAGATCATTGAGCTTTGACCCTGAGTGGTCCTGTGGAAGAAACATGAGGAAATTGTGACAGTTTCTGGGGACAGAGGTAGAAAGAAAAATAAAAAAGAAAGGAAAGGAAAAGAGGGAAAAAAGGAGAGACTCCATGTATGTGCCAGTACTTAGAAATTTCTTACATCTAAGGAAAAAATTGACTACACTATTTGCATTTGTTTAGAGCTTTTTCTTCAGGCACTGCCACAAATATGATTTCCTTTAGGCTTACAATAGCCTAGAAGGTGGTTTGGTCTAATCTTATTTTCCACAAATAAGGAAGCTGAATAATTATAAGAACAAGTGGTTTTCTCAGGGACCCAGAATTATTTAGTAGCTAAGATAGCCAAAGAATCTACAGTCCTGCTGTATGCAGATATAAGTGAGGCTCTTAATAGATGAATATTTGAAGAGACTGGAGGAAAAAAGTGATACCGAATTTTAGTACCTCGGTTACCAATCAAGAAGAATGATATTAATAATTCAATAGATATTGCACATAATTTGTAATTGATATTTTATCATTATAAATACTGGTATGGGCCTGTGTAATCATGGGACTTCTGGAACTGAAAAGTTTTCTTATTCCACCCTTTGGTTGATTTGACATTAAAAATATATCTTTTACTCTTATTTACAGTGGACATTTTGAGAATCCTGAATAAGTAACTAGACCAGTGTTTTCTGAATTTGTGTCTGGCCCTATGAGAACTAAGGAAGTAGGAAAGCTTCCAAAGTCCTTTCTGGGTAGTGAATCTGAGGACCTTAATTCTCCATTCTTTTTGTCTTCTGCTCTGTTGCTCATTGTAAAGATTCTGGTAATGTTAGAAAATGGTTAATTGGATGCTTGGAAGAATCTAAAAGGTTAAGTGGATTTTTGGCAGGAAAGTGAAAAGAGTCATAGTAACTACGCTTGTAGGGGTATGTCTTTAGCTGAGTGTTGGAATGCTGGAAAGAAACCAGGAAACCGGGAATACTGGAGACCAGTATTCTTTGACCAACATCAGCATGGAGTTCAAGACACAGTCTCAGCATTATCCCATATGGAAGTTTGTCTTCATAGACATCTATGTGAACTCAGTTCTCTCCGCACTGTGATATTTCCCTCTATAGTTTCTTTGAAAAAAGATTCAGAGAGTTTTACTGCAAATTGGATTTTGAAAATTGTGCCTGTATATGTATATATACATATTTCAAATCTCTCTCTCTAGTTTAGTTGATTTTTCTTTTCCCATATGAACATATAAAATTAGAGATGCCAGAGCTTGGTTATACCCTTGCACTGAAAGGACAGCTGTGTCATTATCATGAATAATAATCAAAAGATATACTCTTATAGGTGCTATTAGTTGTAAAATAATGAGAGTTCTGTAAACAGTATTTTATTATTTCTCATAGGATACATATGAAATAGGTAGAAGAATAATTATAATTAAATGTAAGAATTATACTTAAATCACTCTACTTTTTGCAGGCAAGATGTTAGGTGCTTTATATTCTCTGAATTCTTACAACTTTATCCTTAGCAGATGTTTTATAGGGAGTTCAGAAACTTTTGAACAGTGCTTGCTTCAAGGTCCTGTACCATCAAAAAAGAAATGAAGGCCTGTGAGGAGGCCGAGAGGTGTAGTGCTGTGGTTAATACTAAGAATGAGGAACAGCATTTAGAGCACTGTACAGGATTGCACAGCTTCAGTAGCAGAGTCAGGATGGGAGCCAAAATAAAGATACCATGAAATAACAAGTGCAATGTCCTTCCACCTAAAAGGCCAACCTAAACTAACACACCGAAGTGTGTAAGTTTCCATGGGCAATGTGCTAGAGCTATGACAGCTGTGTAATCCTGTCCTTTTGGAAATTACGTTTTCTACATAGTTATTTCATAACAGACTTCGCTGTAACTTCCAAAACCAGAATCCATTTTCAACTTAATTCAAAGGGCTTCCAGATGATAGACATAATTTATCATGTACACTGGAGGGTGTTTTAAATATGAAGTGACTTGGTTAACAGCCTCCAGGTTACGCGACCATTTACTTGGTTCTGCTTTATTATATTGCAGCAAAAATCCTACCATATATAGTGGTCATTTGTTGTCCTTTATTTATCAGTTAGTCCAGTCACAGGTTGAAGAAGGTGAGTTAATTGCATTATGAAAATTGACTAGGATTGGTCTTGGAAGGTAAATACACTCAGGGTGTTAGAAGAGCCATTAGTTAAATATGTCCTGAGGTTTCTAAAAGTTAGTCTTATGTGCATCTCCAGAAAGCGCTCCTGGATGTGCAGTGACTTTGTTGAAATATGAAAACAAATATTCCATTACCATTCTAGCTCAGCACCTAATTATCAGGCTTGTTCCCAAATCACAGTGTTGTAATTAGGCTATGATAATTTGAAAATCATACATAGTCTATCAAAAACTCTTCTGTGTGCGTGTTTAATATTTTCTTCTTTGGTAAATTTTCAAGTATTTTTGTCTAATTTCTTTGATCCACTCTATAGAGTTTTTAGAGAAATTGATGTAGAGAAATGCAAAACTATTGGGCAATGAACTAGTTTCTATATGAAATACATGAAAGCTTCATACTGATAGCTGTGCAGATGATTTGGCAGTCCATTTTAAAGTAGGGCTTTAATGTTTTCAGGGGCTACTCCCCTAAATTAATAGCTTGAATCTTTTTCAAAATCTTGATAATAGATTTTATAAGACATTTATGTATTCATGTGTACAAATACACAGATGCATTATTTATCTTCTTTTATTATTTCTTTATGAATGTATAATTTCAAGATTGCATTATGAAGACAACTGAAAGTGTCAAAGAGCAAAAAAATAAAAAAATGCATCTTTACCAAACATGGAAATTCATGTGTATATGTAGTATAACCATGATTTCATCTCTATTTATATTGAGGATGGTGATAAAATAAGTATTAGAGGAGACAATGAAAATGTATAGAAAAATGTATTTAATATATCTTAGTACTGGGTATGATACTAGGCTTGAATTATACATAGCAAGTGACGTGCGTGGATGCATTTGCTAAGAAAGATAATGTGAACATGCATGTTTCCTTGACCTTATGAGTTAACAGTCTTCTATAGGCAATTGTCTTTGCTAGAAGATGGCTAGAAGTCTTTAAGAGACTGAAGGCAATAATGAGATTGTGTTTAATTCCTATTGAGGAAACATTTTATTAACTTTCATTGTTTTCTTGTAGCTTGAAAGACACATGGCATTTTTATTTTATATGTGAAGTAAAGGAGGTGCATAAACTGGGTAAATGACAGAGCCAGGACCTACCAGACTTAGAACACTGTAATTGTTGTGTTGCATTTTCTCAAATCAGAGACAAAAGCCACTAGATCACTGAACCTTGTGACAAACCATGCAGTTAGCAGAAAGTTAGGAATATTATATAATTCTGAACAGAAAATAAGTAGCAAGCAGATCTCATGTTAAATGTTGCCTTGAGTAAGAATATAGGCAAGTTATAACTTTACAAATATTTGCATTATACATGTGTAACCATCCTGCAGATAATCAATAAAATGAAATTTTTCCCATCAGTGGTTTGCCTAAGAATGCTATAACAGTTCTAATGTCATTATCTTGCTTTGTTAGGGATTGACAGGACCTGATGGCTCCCCTGGCTCTGTTGGACCAAGAGGACAAAAAGTAAGTTGACCATCTGGTATTAGTTGCTGGTAGTGATTAGATGCCAAAGCATACTTTCATTGTAGTGTTTGCAAGTCAATCAGAATACTTTAAAATAAAGTTTACTAATCAACTAAAATTCTTCAAGTCAGTTGAAATACTTCATCAACTAAAATTGTGTCTAAAAAAAAAAGATGGAGTACTTTAATGGTTTCAATAATTATGCAGTTTTGATATTTATGTATTCATGTTACGAAAATCCAAATTCAATGAAGCTATTTTTATTATTAGGGAGAACCTGGTGTGCCTGGATCTCGTGGATTTCCAGTAAGTAATTATAAAGCAATAGAATAACAACAACAAAAAAAAATCTCTTTTTTTTGGCAGTACTATGGTTTGAACTCAGTCAGGGCCTTGAGCTTGCTAGGCAGGCACTCTACCATGTGAGCCATGCCTCTAGCCTTTTTTTGCTTTGGTTATTTTTCAAATTGGGTCTTGCATTGATGCTCCGGTCAGCCTGGATCGCTATCCTCTTATTTATGCTCCCTGTGTAGCTGGGATGATGGGTGTGAGCCATGGCACCCAGCTTTTTTCTTTTTAATTGATTAAGATGGGGTCCTGCTAATTTTTTGCCCATTAGGCCTCGAACTGCAATCCTCCCAATTTCTGCCTCCCAAGTAGATATGATTGTAGGAATAAGCCTCTATGACCAACTGAAAATCTTTTATCTTTAGGCAAACTAATGCAATTTTCTACATAACATATATGACAAATGTTTTATGACTTATCTGGTATGGTAAATATTCCTACTGTGAGTAGACACAGTACAATACACATATGTCTATTTGCAGGTGATATTTCTCAGACAACTTCCTCTCTACTTCACTGCTAGAAAACACTTATATAACAGGAAATCTAAGTATTTAGTGTTTAGACTATTTATCATACCACTTTCTTCACAACTGGTTTTATCTCTAATGACATTTAACAATGAGTTCTAGCTGATTCCTGGCTAGTTGCTCAATGCCTCAGACTTGTGTTACCTGTGTGTAAAGGAGGGCTAGGATCCCAGGCTACTTTTCCTTTCTAATTTTTTCATTTTGTTTTTCTTTTGCTCATTAATCTGTGTTTCTCTCCTTTCCCACTGTTTCTACTGTTTTCTTTGCCATATTTCAGCATCTATCAATTTCCCCATTAAAAGCCTGTTTTCAGAAGTGAGTAGCACGCTGACTTTTCTCTCGTATTTTTCAACTCATATCTCGACATTTTGTAGAGATGCCTTTTTTAATGTTTAGTGAAATTTGTCAAATATTTAGATCTCAGATAATAACTTATTGATTGCTTTAGTACATTCAAGCATAACATGTATTTCTCAAATTGATCTATGAATGAAGATATTCAAATTAATTTTTCAAAGAATACCTTGCAAAGGCGCACTTATTATTAAAACATACTGCCCATATGAAGTTCTTGCTTTTTTGAGCTGCCTAAATAATTAGAAATAGCAATATCATTATCAGAGGGTGTGCATTTATCCCATGGGATACTTTATATTTGGATATTTCAGAAAAGCAAGCCTAGAATGAGTGTGGTATCATAAACAACTGTGGATAAAACCTGTTCAAGACAATCTAGATGAGAAAAGAGGAATGAGAAATCCCAAAGGGGAAAACTGAAATTGGGAAGCAGAGAGAGAGGGAGAAAGAGGAGAAGAGATTCTAGGTAGTAAACATTCAATTTTAAGTTCAATAGCATATTGTTAGAGTTTGTTATATACTAGGCCATGTGTAGGTATTGCGACTAGAAAGATAAATAAGATGTGGTTTCAATTCTTGATTATATGGAGTCTGGTGTTGATAAGGACCTAGAATGTGTAAAGGACAGGGAAGGAAAATGAATAGCTTTATAATCAAATTTAGTATATTAAACTAGGATCCCATTGTAGGTTGTTTCAGGAGTGAGCCAGTTTTTTTTTCAATAGCTACCAGATTTTGTGTCTGGAAATAGGGCCTACCTGTGAAAAGGGAATTGTGTTTCTGACTCTTTCCCCCCCAGCCTTTCTGTGATGGATTCTTGTGTGGAGAATTTCTAAATACCCTTTATCATAAACTGTAAAACTATATTGTCTTGAATGTAGGTTTCTTGTACAACACTACAAATGAATAGCAATTTAAGAGTGTCTGGTTGTGATGTGCCTCTGTGAGAGATGGTACGTCCTCCTGAGAGCAAGCATAAATGGCTTCTTTATCTTGATTTTCTGTAAAAAGCATTTAAAAAAAGATTATGGCTAGCATAGACATCAAAGGACTTTTTGAGGGGCTGAAACAGACATCCACTTCCTTTGGAAGCAGAGCCATGTTTGCTTTTCACTGCCCAGTGCTTTCTTTAGAATGAGCATCCTATACTTTGTAGTTTTTGGTTTATTTTTGAACTAAGTTATGTCTGCATTATACTTATGTATAAACCATAGGCCATAACATTTTTATTTTCATCTTTTAGGGCCGTGGCATTCCTGGACCCCCTGTATGTATCATTCATCATTTATTTTTATGTACTCTAGAAAAATGTTCTATTTCTGAAATCCTGATCTTACTTTCCAACTATGACTCTAACCAGCGGGGTTTACTGGGTTTTACCTACATGATCTTAGGTAGCTACTAATAACAATACCCCTATTGTGCTAAAGAAAATATTTACTAATTTAGGAAAATTCTGTTTCATTTTAAGTAATTAGAGTTTGGTCAAATGAGTTATTGTCATTTTGGGTTGATTTTTTTTTTTTTTTTTTCCTGGTTCTGGGGTTTGAATTCAGGGCCTTCACCTTGAGCTGCTGCACTAGCCCTGGTTTTTTTGTGATGGGCTTTTTTTTTGTTTGTTTTTTGAAATAGGGTCTCTTGAACTATTTGCCTGGGCTGGCTTCGAACTACAATCCTCCTGATCTCTGCCTCCTCAGTAGCTGGGATTATAGGAGTGAGCCACCAGTGCTGGAGTTATTGCCTCTTTGGAAAGCAAAGCTGGCACAGAAACACAATTCTAACTCTGTTACTTTTATCATAGTAGATAGCATTTATTATGGACTGTAACAATATCCACAAATCACCTGTCACTTTGATTTTAGGGTCCTCCTGGGTCAGCAGGACTCCCTGGAGAACTTGGCCGTGTAGGACCCATTGTGAGTACCATAGTGCATTTTATTAGATATTTCTTGATTTAATATAAAGTATTACTAATGAAGGCAAATCTCCCTTACTGTGTGTTTCTTCCTATAAATCTAAAAATGGCAGATGTATTTTATCCCAGTTAATAATATTGTTGAGGACTAGGGATAAAAGTGCTACTTCATTTTTTGCAGTCAATTTAATTTTCCCCAAAGTTTTCAGCTATTCTTATCTTCTCAGCTTCTAGATTGTCAGGTAAGGGGACATCACCCTCATCTTACATACTCTCATCCAGGATTAGAGTCTAGTGGCTTTTCTATTAGACTTTCCATATGAAGTAAAAACTAGCCTTCAGTTATTACCATGTATATTTGTGTCAGGACCATTAAATAATAACCAGAGTTTAATTTTAAACATGAATGAGGTGAACTTCATAGATTAAATTGCTGATAAAAAGTACTTCAGGAAGGTATTCAGTAAACATTTAAAAATGTTGAAGTGTTGATGTTATGAGAAGGTTGATGTTATGATGACTGTGAAGTCATCAAGGGAGAGAGCCCTGTATTATACATCGTCTTGCTTCTCTACATGTGTAAGTAAATTTGCAAATTTACTTACTGAACACATCAATGGGCATAAAATGATTGTATATTTAAAAATAATCATAAAATGCTTCTGGCTTTTTATGGTTAAGCATTAAGAAGGAAGCCATGCCAAGGGTAAACATTGGATATTAACAGTAATTGAAACCATCTTTCATCTGAATGGCTTACTTGAATTTAGCTGTCTTTGCCTTTCTTTCCATCCTGAGTGCAATGACAGACCAGGTGATAGACTATTAGATGAACAGCAGCGGCAAGAATCATGCATTACAGAGATTAACTGTCCACTTCCAAGTTCAGGCTGGCTGCAAGCTTTCTTTTGCTCTAATTAACTGGATGGCACTAGTAGTATTGTCTGTTCTAGTTCTGCTGTAAATCGACTAGAAAAACACACCAGAATTACAGTCTTTTTTTTCAGAGAAGATACTCTATCTCCTCTGATTGTTTTACAGGGGAGAATCGGCTTTACTTTTATCCCTGTGTTCCCCTTTGCTTTGTTTTATACCTAGGTGAGATTAGAACATCATCATTATTCTGGTATTGTAGAACTAATTAGATTTTGGTGGCAGGTCTCTGCATGGCTAAGCTCTGCAGGGCTTCTAGTAATGCCATTCTCTCATGCCTTGCTGGTTTTATGCACTGTGTTTTGACACTTGTATAACCACTGTGTAACAATTTTCAAATGACTTAGGGTGACCCTGGGAGAAGAGGACCGCCTGGCCCTCCTGGCCCCCCAGGACCCAGTGTAAGTTATTTACAGTTTGAATTTCTCTTTGTATCTGGGGGTAGGTATTGAAGAAGTCTAAGAACCAAAAATAGAAATCCCTATTAATTTAGTCATTGTTCTACACTCCCAAAATGGCTACCAATGTTTTCATTCACTCAGAGTGTGGTTCGTTTTAGGGATGGAAAGGTAGAGGGATCACAGTAATCTGAAAGGTAGTTTTCACAGAGCAGGTCTTCCTCATTACATTTGAAATCTTTTGACACTTGTGATTTCTCAAATGATCAAAACCTTTACATACAAAAGAATTTTCAAATGAACTGGTTTTGCTAAGGTTTCACAGTAACAAACTAAAAAAAATAAGAGTTCAAGGAGGAGATAATCCAGATTTTTAATTTATGCATCAGGGTTCCCTCTTTTTTTTCTATTCTGTTTCATATTTCATTTTTTAATCCTTTGTAAGAACTAATCTACTGCAGTTTAGGGGTCTCCAAAAGGAATCCAATCACAAGTCAAATCTTTAGAATATTAGCATTTTGTATCCTCCTGCTCTTTGTTTCTTGTATTTTATGAAACAAGTGTACTTATTATATTTTTGCCCAATGGGCTTTCTATTACTGGTAGGATTGAGTTATTTAGTTATTTTCTTAACTTTAATATTTTATTTACTTTAGGGAACAATTGGCTTTCATGATGGAGACCCTCTGGTAAGATGTTTTTCTTTGAACAAAATGTAGTTTTAGTTCAAAGGCCATGCAGTCTTAAAGTGATCTGTCTATAATACTCCGTGCTTTTGTGTTTTACTTTTACTCAAATGACAGGGCAAACTATAGCACCGGGGGCCTGGAGGCTTGTACATACTGAGGCTGTAACAACTTTTCATTATATAAGTATCTGTGTTGTGCCATAATCTCTTTACTTTATGCCTAAGATATTTTCACCAGAGCAACCCAAATTTAGGAATGTTCTGTATATATATTCATAGTCAAATGTTGGGGATATATTGCATTAAATGCAATTTTAGCTCATTGGGGAGGGGATATGAATCACAGGACAGGGCTATTCCAGTGGATAGAGAGGAAAGTAGATCAGGTCATGATCCAATCATTGTGGTAAACATTGTTTTTCTTTAATATATTAGATCTGAAATAAATATGGCAAAATATTAAAATTCATTAAATCTGGATGGTGAATACATGGGAGGGTATTTGTTGTATTCCCCACACTTTTCTCTAAGTTAGAAAAATAAATTTTAAAAAGGAAAAAGATATTCAGAATTATTTAATGACTATAATTGCATTGTGGTTCTATAGCTGGAATCCTTTTTAAAAAATCTACCTTGTTACAAAGTAGGGCTCTAACTTATTCTCTCTCTCTCTCTCTCTTTCTCTCTCTCTCTCTCTCTCTCTCTCTCTGTTTCAGTGTCCCAATTCCTGCCCACCCGGTCGCTCTGGATATCCAGGTCTACCAGGCATGAGGGTAAGAGAATACTCTCATTATTTTATTTTCAGAAGTGTTAGTCACAGAAAAATGGAGCCTTCACTTTCAGCTCTGCCCTTCTTAGTGCAGAGACACTACTTGGATGAGCTAGTCAACCCTGTGTGTGCTTAGTCTGTGTTTTAGTCTGTGGTACAAATTCAGCCTGGAAGTTCCAGCTGGTGCCCCTGATAGGTGCTCTTAGCAAGATGGAGGCACTTAATTATAGAATGCCTCTGTAGTTCAGGGAAGAAATGACAGTAAAATACATTGGATTAAAGATTCTAGCAAACCAAATCAAAGGTCAGAAGTTTGCCTCCTGTGGAAGAAGATGGTGGAAGTGTGGGGAGAGAAATGTGCACATAATGTTTTTGAGACAGCTCTGGTTAAAAAAAAAATTGGAAAAACTGTGCAAGATAAACAGAAAAAGAGACTTTCCTGAAAGCATTTTCCCTCCCTTGGCCAACATAATTACTTAAAAATATTCTGTAAAATGAAGTAAATGAATGTTAAATGCTGTGGGTAAAGGACTTTCTACAGTCTCTGAGTCTAAAGTGATTTTGAGAAATTTCAGACATAGGGGGTTCTGTTAGGTTTTCTCTAAAGGTAATTTTGACTGGTTCTCTCAACTATGGAAGATCTTGGTCTGGATTTGTGTCTTATTTTTCCAAAAGATTTGAGAGGGATGAGAGTTCTAATAGACTTAATTTTGGAATGCTTGTCTCACAGTTTGCGAAATGTTACTGCCCACAGCACACACGCTTAGAACAGGTTGCCTGACTAAAAGACAGGACTTGTTTTCATGTTCTGCAGTCTTTGTTACTGCCCTTCAGTGCCTTCCTTTTGCACTCATCATTATATACCCATGATACACGGGAAGGGGCAGAAAGTTATGTACTGGGGAAGTCTACTTCTTGTGCCATCCCGTTCTCCACCTCCAGGAAGGAGGTGGATACAGAGGAGGCAGAAGGGTTTTCAGAGCAGCCTCCAGAAAGCTGAGGATAGTAGGGTGAGGGCTGTGGCTTCTGAAAAGGATGTTCAAGAAGACTTCATGCTCCTAACCCAACTCCAGGAGTAAGCTGGGGAAACTGTGGTCTTAGGAAGAGTAGGCAGGTGTCAAGGAGTCATGTCACTGAACTGAGTAATGGAGAATTTCTTATTCCAGAACAGTGTTTTCCCATTGACTAAAACTGGTGTTTATTATATGCAACAGTCATGTAACACACATGGTGATCTTAAGGCCATTTAAGGCAGTAATTCTCTTTGTGGCATAACCTTTTTCTTAGCACACTGACGCAGATTTAGGCTAGTAGGATCATTAGATGAGCCTTCTGACCACTTTTGGTGCCAAGCCCAATACAATTTCATTTTTGCATTTTTTAGGGTCACAAAGGTGCTAAAGGAGAAATTGGTGAACCAGGAAGACAAGGACACAAGGTAAGAAAATGAGTATTTAATGGTAAATTGTGATTAGAAAGTAGTGATCACTTTCATTACAAGGAATTATAAGGAATGATAAAGCATGTTGTTTTATATTTTACCCTTCTCTCAAGTAATTCTTCATGTGTTCTCAGACTATGTGCTCCTTTTCTTTGGTATTGAAGAGCTGGAGAGGCAATTTATTACTGTCATCAAGCACTAATATCTTTTAACTCCTTAGCTAAAATCAGTCTGCTGAATAATCTTACTTAATCAGGATATATATAGGCCATTTATTTTAAGTCTTTTATTATTTAGAATCGTTAAGGAATTTTATTTATCTGGAATGTAACAGCTGGATTTCTGATGTCAAATTAGAAAACCTGGAAAACTTTGGAAATTTATCCCCATGCCCATTCCTCCACTGAATTTTAAAATTTTTAATTTTGAAAATGAAAAAAATGCTTATTAAGCACTGTTACACTCCATGGTTTTTTTTAAAAAGTTGAGGTCATGAAGTGACCACACACACACACACACACACACACACACACACACACACACACACACAGGGGGGACTGGCTATATTAAATATGACATATTTGTGTAATAGAAGATGAGCTAACTACAAAAGCAGGAATGGAAGAACATTAAAAGTACATTAATAGGTATTTGCAATGAAATACATATAGTAAAGCAGACACACTAGACTTCTGTTAGTTTTGATACTTTGTTTACCTTCCTCTTCCTTTCAGTGACCCTTTCCTTTGGAGAACATTCACTCCTCATCCCATGGGATTTGGAGGTGTTGTTGCCAATGGGGGTGTCCTTCTACTTTTCCCATGAAACTAACATTTTTGTTACCTGCACAAGTTAGTTATCTGGACTTTCAAATTTGGTTTGGTGTTAAGTGGGAAACTTGTAAATTTTTTTGGAGTGTTGGATAATTGACGAAATTTATCATTTAATGTTAAAAATTCCTTCAGATTATTTTACATTTTTTTGTCATCTCAAACTTTAAGTGGTGACTTTGGAAATTGATATAAAATGATAGGATGACATAACTCATTCAGGAATGAGCACTAAAATAATTAACAGGTGGACTAAAACAAAACTGAAATCACAATGATAAAGAAGAGTTGGGGGCCTAAATTTCACATTCAGATCCACAAGTTTCCCTGAATTTATCCTGTGATTTAGTTAAGGAAGATTTTTAAATGCTGTTTGTCAATGTAGGGATGAATGGCGAAACTTCACTAATTGAAATATGGCTTTGGTAATATACAGCAGATCAGTATTCATTCAAAAATGTTTTGGAAAATGATAATGAATTGTTTCTCCTAAATTTGTCATTTTATATTTGTGATTGTTGATTAGGTGTATGCTTTTCATCTACAGGTGAAATACTTTATCTAAATATATTACTCCACTGTTTGTGGAGACTGTGGGAAACATTCCGTAGTCTGCTAAGAGAAAAATGCAGAGGACATATCAATCATCACGGCTCCTGCAGCAGTTTTATAGGTCATCTACTCTATGAGCTAGCTACCTCACAAGCTTTTAATGGGACTGCCTCTTCCTACTGTCAATCAGAGGTTCAAATGGAATATAATCTGAATATAATTATGACAGTAAAACCAGTACCCGAGACACACATAATTCATTTAAAAATCAAGTGTAAATGATCTAGGTATACAACACAGTTCTTTGCATTTTGTGCCTAAATATACTAATACTGCTGTTAAATTTTCTGTCCATCCTTGTTTTGTTGTGAAAAATCCTAAATGTATGGCGTATGAAAATGGGTGAATTGAAATATGTAATAAAGAAACAATAGAAATGAATCTAGTCTAATATTATATACATAATGTTACAAATGAAGACACTTTGTCATGACTAACTTCCCAATTTATCTATTACCACAGAAAATGTAAGGCAGTATATCTATCATACTGTGTTAGAGGGAAAGTACTTTTTTCTCAGCCTGGAAAATAATCTTTCAGTAAGAGGCAGGAGTTAGACCTCCTTTTTGGAATACTCTAACATTTTAAAGTATATCAGAGAGTATGAAATAACAAAAGGTTAATATAATAATTAGAAAATATGATGGAAGGAGATTTCATTGACAACAGCAACCAAATCATCAAAATACTTCAGACCAAACTTAGGAAATATTCAAACCTAATATAAAGAAAGGAAGAAAACTTTTATTTATGAGAAGAAAAAGATTTTACTAAGTAGGGAGATGCAATGACTTCTAGGATAGAAATATTCAATGCTGTGCTAATATAAAGCAAGGAGAATTTCTGTGAAGATCTGCCTAATGATTATAAAGATCACCTGAAAGAGTGAAAATGTAGGCAAATCTGAAAAATAAGAGTAGCTATAAATGAAATGAGAGGCAGGGGAATTCTCCCTACCTGAGATGAAAATGTGTCGTGAAATTTCAGTAAGTAAAATGGTCTGATATTGGTAACAGCAGGTCAAAAGAGCACAATAGGAAGCTTAGAGACAAGTGCACCTACCAATTTAGTGTATTAAAGATGAAATTCCCAATATATGTGGAGAGTATTATTCAATAAATCTTATTGGAATAAATGGCCAATTACTTGAGGAAAATGTATATTTTTATATGCTATGTCTTACATAAAAATAAATTGCTGATCATTAAGTTTTCAGAATAAGAAATTAAACTATAGAATTACTCAAAGAAAAATGCAGATGAACACTTACACATTTTGGGGGTAGAAAAAGGTTTTCTATGAGTGACATCAAAGGTAAAACCCATGAAAAAAAAGACTGATTTGAATGCATTAAAAAGTTGTTTATGGTATAGGAATCATAATGAGAAAAGCTAAAATGTAAATTATAATTAAAAATAATATAGTTTATGGAAAAGTTTGCATAATATGATTACATTTTCTTAATAACACACCCCCAACACACACACACATTCAGACGTGAGTAAACACGTTTTCTTTTCTCTGTTTTTTCCTTCCCCCCTTTAGAAAACTTTGAAAGAATAGCATCTAAAACATTCCTGCTATTTCTGATTAAATGGTGGGATTTAGATGGCTTACATTTATTTGTATGCTTCTCTGGATTTTCTGATATTTATAATTAGTATGGACTAACCACATAAAATAATTTAAGAAACCCTAATAGAATTATTCAGAGGATGTCAAAAGAATTTAAGAAGCACTGAGCTAGACTGAGCCTATTTCTATATTCATTTGCTGCAATAACTTTTATTGTGCCTTTCTCTTGCTGTTTAGGGTGAAGAGGGTGACCAGGGAGAACTGGGAGAAGTTGGAGCTCAAGGACCTCCAGTAAAGTGTTTCTCAAATATATTTAAGTTAAAATGCAAATATTTTAAAAATTATTTTTGGAATATTTTCTTTTCCCCACCAAGCAAGCCTTGAGAGATAACCCCTTTTCCAAAATAAGAAATGGTCCTCATTATTTATTTGAGCACCCAAAGGGGACAGAATATATTCTATATATGATTACAGGTATTTGATTAGTAGACTTGAGGGACAGGCAACCTGAAAGCAAATATTGAGAACAAGAGTGTGATATGTCTTTATGTTCTATAATTCTATCACATGATATAAAGAGAAAAGTTTGTGAGACTTGAATATGAAGTCAGTACATAACCCACTGGATAAATGTAGCTCATTTTAGCATGCAATTATTACAACTGGAACATTCTTAATTGTTCCTAACCATGTCTTTTAATAAAACATGAGTCCCTTGTGCTCTGGCAGATTGCTGCAATAATATGTAAGGTAATTGGGAATAAGCACACTTCAACTTAAAATGGTTATTAGATTTGAATTTATGCTCCTTTTGTGCTGTATGAAAGTAGACTTGCTATATATTTTCCTTGGCAACATTAAGGAAATGTTAATCATAGAAAATTCATAGAACATTGTAGCTAGTCAAGCAATAGCCTATGTAAAAGACATAGGGACACACTAAAGAGTTAGGGATGACAATACAGGGATACCCTATGTGAACTCACAAGACTAAGGTTTTAACAGGGTTCATGGAGCTGTGGATTCGTGTTTACCAAGAGTTTAAGGGAAATCAAGCTAAAGGAAAAAGAATCAGAGAGTCTGGAAGACATGGTCTCTGACTACAGGCCATGTAAGCACATTAAGGGACTTTGTGGAGGAGTCCAGGCAGGCTGTTGGGTTCCCAAAATTTGCCTTGTCTGATGTGACACAAGAAGGAGCTGGACCTTATTTCACTGGTGGGAGATAGTGATGAGATAGCGACAGAAGATATATGCTTTTTTGACCTGATGAATTTTGGCGGGGATTTTTTTTTAAAACGTCATTCTCCAAGATCACCAGAACAGGGTTTTGCAAACATTCTAAGAAGAGTTTTTATGGATTAAGGGTCTCTGTTGAGTGCTGCATAGCTCAGGTGGACCCACTGGGGGATATTTTTAGTGCTTCCTGACCTCCTGTTGTTTGGGAGTAGGTAAGTCAAAATGTTTCTGTACGTTTCAGATTTTAACTTTTTAGATATATATGCACAAGTGTAAAGTAATGTAGACTTTTTGGCCTATTTTTACAAAGCTCTGTCTCTAAAAGTAGTTAGCTCAAGAGACTTTGTGTGGGTTCTTAGGTCACTGCTATTGACTCAAATATATTTTTTAAATTATTTGTGTGGAGATACCTTCAGAGCCAGTGAATGAGCTACATAAGACAGAACCTTTTAATCTGACATGGCAGCTTAAATCCTAGGTGGACCTAGGTGGCTTATCCTGCACATTTGAATTTCAGGTTGTTTTTGACTGATGTGTACAGAATTTGTGACTGATTTGGGTGAAAAGTTGGTTATGGACTTGCCCCATTTTCTCCATGTGGGGAAATGAGGAAAACGAGTAGCTTAGAGATACTTAAAGTCAGTATGGATAATTAGCTAGATGTTGGAGAAGCAGCAACTTTCCTGATGGAGCATCCACTCAGCTTCTCCTAGGAAGCACCCAAACGCTTCCCACCATTACTGAATACTATCTGGAGCCCTCCTGCTCTGGGGCCAGCCAGTCTAATATGGTGACATTTCAGTTACACCTACACTCACCGCTATTTTTAGAATTATTCACTCTTGTGCCTGAGATGAGGTAAGAAGTTTCTGCTGTGCCATGCTGGTCTTGGAATGCCTTTTGTCATAGGAATGGTATGATGAATAATGGGTACCAATGGCTGATGAAGATCCAGCCCCATTCCTAGAACATAAGCTTTTGTGGGTCAGAACTGCATACATTGGGGTGAGGGAAAGTCTTATCACTTGTAACCAAGTTACAAACCATGAAGGACATAGGGACGGTAGTGTAAGTTCTGTATATGAGTTAAAAGATGCTGAACGTGTTATCACAATTCCTCTTATGCTAACGATATTTACTTTTTGGCATCAGTAATTGTACCACTTCAATTGGCATAAGGTTTGTATAAGTCTTCAGAATTTTATAAAAGAATTTTGCTGTCATGATTCTTGACTTTTCTTTCTTAACTAGAAAAGTTCATTTATAGAATGTCTCTATTTCTTAGTTTAACTTTTTAAAAGTATATTTTTTGATAGTAGTGGTGTTCAAACTCAGGGGTTTACATTCAAGCACTCTACAACTTGAACCATGCCTCCAGACCGTCAAATAGGTGCTCACTTTTTGCTCAGGACTTGGCTCAGACCACCATCCTTCTACCTCTGCCACCCAAGTAGCTGGGATTATAGGCATGTACCACCACGCTTGGCTTGTTTTTTGAGATAGGACCTGGCTAAATCCTCCCTGTCCTCCTCCTGCTGGCCTCAAAAAGCAATCCTCCCATCTCTGCGTACCATGCAGCTGGGATTACAGACATGAGCCACTACTCCGACACTTAGTGTTACCTTTGGTTATGATAACAACCTTCTTCTGGATCAGCTTCTGTGACAGCATTCTAAAATAATCTACTCTTCTTTTTTACATTTCTAGGGAGCTCAAGGTTTGAGAGGGATCACTGGCATTGTTGGAGACAAAGGAGAAAAAGTAAGATAGTGATGATAATGATACAATATCAAAATGTGTTACATAGTTTAAAAATTGACCCTTGAAAATGACTTCCTACCTTTAGCAATATCACTTTTCATTTGATGTTTGTGTAGATGTGTGGTTAGGTCCTCACATTTCTGTTGAGGACAACAGAACAGAACTTTTGTTGTTGACAAAAGTGAGTACTCTGTATGATACCTTGTCATATGGTCATCTCTCGGTACCCATATGGAGGTTTGGTTGTTACAGGACTCTGAACCCCACCCAGGATACCAAAACCTGCAGGTGCTTGAGTGTCTTGTAGAAAGCAGAGTTGTCTTTGCACATAACCTGTGAACAACCTCCTGTCTCCGTTAAACCTCTCTAGATGAGTTATAATACCTAAGGCAATGTAAATGTTAGGTACATAGTTGTTATGCTGCATTGTTTAGGGAGTAACGATCTGAAGTGTCTGTACGTATTCAATATAGAGACAACTTTTTCCAAGTATTTTTGATCCACACTTGGTTTGAATCCATGCAGAACTTGTGGATAGGATTACACATTTTAAATTATCTTGATTGAATTAGAGTAAGTGGGTATAATATTTTTTTTTTATCTTTATCAGTAGTCAGCACTGATAATAGCAACCCAGTTCCTGTAGTGCTTCTGGTTAAGCAAGGCAAGGAGAGGGGAAGACAGAAAGGGAGAGATGAGAGAAGGCAGGGCCTCCCAGACCCTAGGGCCATCCTTGGCTCCCCTGAGTCCGAGCCCTGCTCTACGCTGGTCATACACTTGTGACCTGGCCTTAGCCTTGTCTCAGAAGTCAGATTTTCCTAGGTCTTCCATTGCAATGTATCCACAAGTTGCTGGGAAGCTTTGAAAAAGAATAAGGCCTGTATCCAGTTTGTTACTTATTTGGAAAGAGAAATAAGCAGACAACTATGATGTGTGCAAGGGAGACACAAGTCTGAAGGTAGGTGATCTGAGGGACAGCAGAGAAAGCAATGGGTTCATCTTGACAGGGGAACTGGGAGGGCCAATGAAGCAGGTGCCATTAGAAGGATGACCAGCCTAAAAGGATGAGGTGCTCTGCTGTGAAGAATGGACAACAGGTAATGCCTTGTTGAGTGAATATCATAAGGAAAAACAATGAGAGTCATTCACTGTATCCTCAGACATATCTTCCTTGGTATGGGTGTGCATGAACGTGTGTGTGTGTGCGTGCATGTGCAGGAGCATGTCTAGCTTCTTTATCAGAAAACAGTTATCACTTCTTAGAAAGTATATTAGGAAAGCCGGTTTGTAGGCCACAGAAAATTAAAAAGCATCTTTATCATCACTACTTCTGACCCTGGCCTTATTCTCTTCAGAGTTACTAAAGCTAATTTGTGTCAGTTCCACAAAGCAGCACAGAGCCTTTTAACAATTAAATAAAAATAAGTTGCACATTGTTGATGCTCAATACATTAAACTGAGTCTTTTAAAGAAGAGCTGTACATTTTGTGAATTGAAAGTTTAGCATATCTATTGTTTTTTCTTTCAACATCCTTTTTTCAGTCTCTTTTTGAATCTTCTGGGTATTTTCTTTCTGTCTGTTTTCTTCTTCCATCTCCCCTAAACATTTCTTTTTTGAAAACAACTGTATTTTAAAAAAATACATCTGAGTCCTAAATATTTCTGTATTTGTGTTACCTTAAGTAACAACCTGTGTGCATCTTTTCTTTTATTAAATAAGAAAACCCATTTATTTTGATGCTGCTGATACCTAGGTCTTCAGTTTTTCTGGATATAAATCATTCTCTAAAATTTGTGACCCCTTTCTTTGAAACCAGTTACTGTTCTTGATAAGGTCTTTATTTGAAGTATTTTTATACCTAAAATTTTTCAAAAATTCTCATTTCCCTTGATTTCTGTCAAATTGCTTTAAAAAAAAAAAGCTCTTTTTGTGAACTCAGCCATGAAATGGTTACCTAGTAACAGCAGTTTGGGGCTGAGCTCACATTGAACAGCAGTAAGACAGAGTGGGAGTGAGGGCATCAAAGCCATTTCTAAAACGGAAAGGCTGGGCTCTGCTCTCCTAATGCAAGGTGAAATGATGAATTCAAGGTCTTTTTCCTGTCTTCCAAATTCTTTCTTCTCTGGTGAATGTAGAATGCCTCTGCTCTGTTTTAGTTTTTAGATATCAAAGATTTTCAAGGCTCTCTGGTCCCTTTGCTTCTGCTGTGGTTTTCCTTTGATTCTACCTTCTATCAAAGGTTTGAACCTTCCATCAAAGGTTTTCCTAATTTTTAATTCTTACTACAGATGCTGTGTACCTGGTTTTCCTAGCCTGACCTCTATCTAATACTTGACTGCTTTCCATTTATTTTATCATTTCCTTATCTCAGCCTTGTTCACTAGAAGACTGCCTACTTATGTCCTTATGATTTCCTATTCACTTTGTACACAAGAGCAAGACTTAAAACTGGGGTTGCATTTTGTCCAGGGGCATATGTAGAGAGTACTAAAAACACTGTTCTTTTGTTTTAAAATCACATTTTGATTCTTGTAATGAAAATAAGGAGATGATACATAAAATATATAGATAAGTCAGAGATCATTTGAACATAATTAGACACAAAAAAACTGTGGATAGTTGGTAGGGTGGATCTGTTGTGGAGAAAATAGGTCAATTATTGTAACATCAGTGCAGGGTGGAAGAGGGAATTCTCAGGCCCTTCTAACAAATCATTCTTCTGAACCACATGGGTGGACTTTTTATTACAGGTCTTAGGGGCAGAGCCAGAGTTCTGGAATTACCTCACATGGTATGGCATCACAGAGACCACTGTAGCTGTGATGGCTCCATGGCCTTTGCCATTAGTGAATTCCCACAGTCATTCTGAGAGCCCCAGAGAGTGACTGCCAAGTCTCTTTCAAGAGATTTCCCAAGTTCTCTGAATAAAAACCAGGTTTTTAGTTCAAGTCCACAGTTAAGCATGGATGCAATGGTAGCTTAAGTATTCAGAGAGGTAGCAAAGGCTGTATTTAAGTCCTGTTGGTGTGGTAAGTAGATGTAAGCGTTTTCATTTGTGAAGTATCAGGGTTCACTGATGAATGCAGTATGTATTTAAACACAAGCCTCTCTTTATGTGGCTCTTCTATTTCTTTATAAAGATTGTATGCTCTTACATACAATTAACATACATGCCCAGTTTCATTTCCTTGTCTTGTTTTCTGCAGGGTGCTCGGGGCTTAGATGGAGAACCTGGGCCTCAAGGTCTTCCTGGTGCACCTGTAAGTGGTTTTCCTTTCACAAAATCTGGTTATGGATTTTTTAAAGCAATGATAGATTTTTTTGCACATATATATATATGTATATATATATATATGTGTATATATACATATATATTTATGCAAGTAGCTTGTACATGTAATTAAAATGGATAAAATGGGCAAAATTTTTATATTTATTTAAAAATTATAGTTTTTCTCTTGGGCACAGAGATTTATTCCTCTGACTTGATTTTATTTTTATAGGGTAAGTCCAATTGTGAAGTATTTATGTTTGTGGTGTGCTCCTTTTGCTCCGGTTGTCAGGATGCTTTGATTCACAGTAAACATCTCAGTTACTGATATATGATTTTCTGAACTCATGATTCCATACTTTGACTACCATGTGTAAATGTGTCATTATTTTGCACATTTGCTGACTCGAGCATCTTTTTTGCAAGTAAACACATAGAAACATCCCATATTAATCATCACATAAAATGTAAAAAATTTTTAAAAAGGGAAAGGATACACATGAGTTAGAATTTCTTACTATCAAGTTCCTATGGTCAAGTGGGAAAGACAGAAGGTAACTCAACGGTAAACTACAAGATCAGGTGCTAGAACACGGGCCAGTGGCAATCTGTGCACGAGGACCTTAGAAGAAGGAGTCATTCTGGGTGGGAAAGGCAACAGAGTACAGAGGGTGCTGTGGTGGGATGGGTGTGGATGCTATCACAGTGGCTTGCCATTGCCTACATTTAAGCAGTTTGTGTTGAGAAGATGAGGTTGAATAGATAAGGTAGATCCACGGTATGGAGAATATTTAATGCCAATCAACAATTTGAACTGATCCAAATAGCCAGGGAGGTATTTGAGGTCTGGAGTAGTTAAGCAACTCAAAAATATATATATATAGTTAAGCTATATTTTGGGAAGATACATCCTCTTATCTATTACCACCTTCAGCATATATCAGCATTAGTTGAATAATTTTGACAGAAACCATTATGAGTGAATGAGGAATTAAATAATATGGAGAAAATATTGACAACAAATCCAAGCCTCCGCTCACTGTAATAGGCAATGAGATTAGCTTACTTGTAGATATAGCTAACTGATGTTGTTACCGGCAATATGCAACATAATTTATTTTACATATAATCCAAATAGCATAGAAGTGTTTTGCATTTCAAATGAAAACAAAGAACACGCAAGTCTCAATTATCTTGATAGCAATATTAATTTTTAAAGATGTAATTTTTATAAAAAGATTTCTTGAGCTAGGCATCTAGGATACATCAGTCATTGTGGTGAACTAACAATATTGAATAATATGGGTGATGCTTTCTAATTTTAAAAAGTCCATCAATAAGTAACTTTTGCTTATACTAAAAATTTTATTTTTATATAGGGTGATCAAGGACAGCGAGGACCTCCAGGAGAAGCAGGTCCCAAGGGAGACAGAGTGAGTTCAAATTAGACTTAGTCACTACAAGCATCCTGCCTTTCAATGTTGTCTGTGAATTTTGCTTATCTGTTTGACATGTCCTAAGTATTGCAGTCATTGAACATGTCTTGTTTATTTTTTCCCTTCTGCCCTACAGGGGGCTCAAGGTTCTAGAGGAATTCCTGGATCCCCTGGGCCCAAAGGAGACACGGTATGTTCTAAACTGTAGTAATCAAGCACATCTTCTAAGTGATGGTTGATTTGTAATAAAACTTTAGAAAACAATGCTGGGAAGAAGGATATGACTGTTTCTAAGAGACAGTGTGTTTCTTTGTGTCTTTAGGGCTTGCCAGGTGTGGATGGCAGAGATGGGATACCTGGAATGCCAGGAACAAAGGTAGCTGTGTGATTCAGTATGAATGAGTGGGGCTGTCTCTGCCCTGGCCAGCTGAGCACAGCCGCCCGTTACAGCATCACCAGAGATTTATTTAGCCAGCTTTGGCTTTTTTCTCCTTTTAATTTTTAAATCAAAAGTGTCAAATGTGAAATTCTTATTAAAATAGTGTAGTTACTTGCTTTTAGAAATGCAGTAAAATGGCTCAATTGATGAAAATATGCTGAAGGAAAGTGTGAGTTTGATTGAATTTATGTCCTGTGTCCTACCCATCCTACCTCCTGACTTCAGTAACATTTTAAAAGTGCACCTAAGGTCAGCTGTTGGGAAGATCCTTTTACTTAAAAAGCTTTGTACTCCTCTCTTAAAACAAATGCAGCAGTTCAAACAGGTTCAACAATGTGATAAAAATTTTTCTTTCAGGGTGAGCCAGGGAAACCAGGGCCTCCTGGTGATGCAGGATTGCAGGGATTACCTGTAAGTATTTGATGATTTAAATGTTTAATGGTTTATGTACATGTTTTAAAGATGTGAATTCAGAGAAAGAGATATGTTAGATGACTTGTTACATTTTAAGGAAGATATGATTTTTTTTGTAGTTTTATACTTTGCACTTTTGTTTTTTTTTTCTCTGAATAGCTGGTAATTTTTCTAACAACTGTAAATATAGAACAGTTTAATTTTGTGTTTTAGCTCTGTCTTCTCTCTTTAGTTTATTGTCTTCCTTATATTATTTTATTAACCCTGAGCAGTGGCCACTGCTGTATACTTTGTTCTACTTTTAACCAGCCTTGGAGTTCTTATTAGCTGAGTTGAGCCACAGGAAGTTTGAGTATTCTCAAGGAACCATGTGAAGTACATGATATCATTTTTGGATTATGTGATATTTTGAAACAATCAAATTGGTGTTTTCCTTCAATAAAGGATACTTGGTAATACCAAGGACTGGTTCTCAATCTTTTGTGACATCTGACACTTTTTAAGCAATCAGAGGTGAGCAGAACTCCTAGTACCAAATCTTATGCCCAGCGTCATTCTACCATTCTCTTTTTCCACCCCCAATCCTAGCATTTTCCATAGGCCCTCCTTTTATTATTCTGTACATGAAACCATATCTCTGTAACAGCTGTTCTGTCTAGAAAAGTGCCTGTTGACTCAAAAATGGTACTGTAGTCTAGTGTGGAAATTCATCCTTCAAAAATAACTTTAGTTGAGAAGTAGGATTTGCTTTAAAAGTGTTCATCCTTAACAAGGCACATAAGTAAAATAATGCCCTGCACACCATGAGTACTTCTGTAACCGACTGTCCAAGTTTGGGGACCAGGTAGACTCTCCCTCATACTATATATTTGAGGTTGCCATGGTCGCCTTGGCCTTTTAGCAGGTGTAATGTCCTTAGCATCTCATGGATCCTCAGATGAGGTCATTAAACCAGATTCTGTGTACATTCTTTTTTAGGGTGTACCTGGAATTCCTGGTGCAAAGGGTGTTGCTGGTGATAAGGTAAAAGATTAAACCTCTAAATTAATATTTAATTTATTCCTTTATGAATACATTCTTTATAATTTTTAATAGCTCCAGCTTGCCTTTTATTTTATATTTGACCCCAGGGAGAAATCAAAAAGTGAAAGTTTTAAAGCTTTAAGTGGTAACCTTTTTCCCAGCTGCAGAAAGTTGCTGATGAAACTTTCTTTATGAAAATACCATCCTTTGCCTGGATAAAACAGAAAGTTCTTTGATTCTTACTATTTAAAATAAAGAAGGTATTATTAAACTATAGAGCTTATGTCAGTGATGTTAAGATAATTTAGCTTAAGCTGAAAAGATATTAAGTGTTTGTTTGTGTACTGGTCAGCCAGTGCTTATACAGAAGTAAAGTGACATGCAATTACAAACAAGAGGTGAAAGAAAGAAATTAAAGGGATAAAATACAGCTTTGCTTTAGGCTACACTAGGTAAACTGTGGTTATGTAGAAGTTAGTCACTATTAGAGAACATGAGTACAGCCTTCAGTTGTAGCATCGCACACCACCTTGAGCAGAGTTGGTCCCTAACAGGGGCTGTGAAAGATGGATAGTGGGGGCATCACCAGACACACACTCTAACTGGAGTGTGCGGGAAAGGTTTTCTCAGCAGTACATCACCTTGTTCCCTCACGCTGAATTGATTCTTCTTTTTTCTTCTTCTTTTTGTTGGCACTGGGGTTTGAACCTCAGGCCTCACACTTGCTAGGCAGGTGCTCTGCCACTTGAACCACTCCGCCAACCATGATTCTTAAAAATTTTAGCTGTGTCAATGCGAGGTAAAAGGGCTCAAAGAAGTGTATTGGAGGTGGAAGTGATAAAAGAAAGACATATATAATTAATATTTTGAAAGAAGAAAAATCTTCAGGTTGAAGGGGATTCCTTTAAATGGAGGCTAATGACCTTCATTATTTGATATTTGACCTCTAATATGCTTCTGGGACTGAATCTTAAGGACTTTGATGTACTCATAGAAAGAGTCTACAGCCTCATAAATTACCAGTGTGAAAGCACAGATTACTGGTACTTAAATACAAGCAGCCCATGGTCTAGGTGAGGCAGGACAACGATTAGGTTTACTTTACAATCTGAATGTTGCCTCTTACCTTTAGGGTAACACAGGTGCTCCAGGGAAGCCCGGGCAATTGGGAAATTCAGGCAAACCGGTAAGATGCGTTTTCCCTTTCCATCAAGCATGACCTGTTGTCATCAGGGATTGTTAACTTTTTCTCTACTTGTCTTCCTTGTACCAGGGCCAACAGGGGCCTCCAGGAGAGGTGGGACCCCGAGGACCCCGAGGGCTTCCTGTGAGTATGCCTTTTCTATAGTGCCTTGCCAAGACTTGGCCGGGTGTTCCTCAGTTCATTCATTAGTGTAGGATGCCTTTATTTGGGTGGGACTGCTGTTTGAACTCAGGGCTTCATTCCTGCAAAACAGGCACTCTATCTCTTGAGCCATCCATCCAGTCCATTTTGCTCTGGTTATTTTGGAGATGGGAGTCTCTGAACTATTTGCCTGGACTGTCCTGGAACCTCCATCCTTTTAATCTCTGCCTCCCAAGTAGCTAGTATTGTAGGTGTGAGCCACTCCCAAGCTCATGGATGCCTTCTGATGTTTGAGCATGCACTAGTTCAGATAAACAATGAAATGGGAGTGCTGTTTAGATATACAGTACATCTTCTTTTTAGAAAATAGATAAGAAATGAAGTGCTTAAAAGAGGCATGATGACCTCTCTCATTTCATGTTTTTTTTGTGTGTGTAATATTTTTGTGTCACTAAAAGAAACCTTATTAAGATAGAATTCACATGTTATGTAAATTACCTATCTAATGTGTATAATTTACTGGTTTTTAGCATATTCACAGAATTATTCAACCATTACCACAATTTCAGAACATTTTCATCACCCCAAAAAAGTCATCCTGTGCAGACTTGCAGTCATTCAGCATTTCCTCCCAAATCCTTTCAGCTCTTCACAGCAGGAATCCACTGTCTATCTCTGTTAGTTTACTGATTGTGAAGGTTTTGCATAAACAGAGTCATACAGCCTGTGTGGCATTTTATAAATGATTGTCTTCTCCGAGCATAATGTATCAATGTTCCTCTGTGCTGTAGAATGTATCAGTGCTTCATTTTTTGTTGCTGAGTGGTATTTAATTGCATGGATTAATGGTGAGGCTATGTCACACCACTATTGATCCATTCATCTGGTGATTGGCATTTGGATTATTTCCATTTTTGGCCATTGTGAATAGTGGTGCTATGGGTGTTTGTGGACAAGTTTTTGTTTGGTAGTATATTTTCACTTCTGTTGAGTACATACCTAGAAGTGGAATTGCTGGGTGATACAGTAACTCTATATTTAACCTTTTAAGAAACTTCTAGAATCCTTTAAGCGTAAGTTTGTAAATGTATTTATTTTACAACAGATTCAACAATGTATATTTTCTCACTAGATACAATGTAACCCTTAAAGAGAAACAGATTCAAAACTTAAACATTATGCACTGAAATTTTACTTTAAAAATACTCTCTGGGCTTTAGTATCAGTTCTTATTTTCAGTTGAATAACAAAAACAAAAAAACTCCAAGTGAGAACACAGAAACACTTCCAAATATCATTACTTCTTTTAAAGTATTTCTTGAGCATGTTGAACAAATATTTTCATGCTTGAGAAAATTGAATGGTTCTAGCTGTCTTGTGGCATAAGAGTGAGTTTTTCTACTTAAAAAATTTTGTCAACTGACCTCTACCAGGTAGTTTCCTGAAGTTTCTCTGGAGCTAAAGAAAGCAGCCCTTACTCAGAATTATGCTTATTATTTTCTTCTCTTTTACTTGAAGCCTAAGTAAAAATGCCAAAAATTAACTGTCAAGGCACTGAGATTATAACCATGTCATATTTCTTAAAGGGTGCTGTATGACAGGTTCCAGGAGATTTAACAGAGTGGAATCATTAGAACTTTGAGAGTATTTGAGGCACTGTGGTTCAAGCCTGTTATCTCCAAGCTACTTGGGAGGCAGGGATCAGGAGGATCAAAGTTTGAGGCTAGCCCACACAAAAAGTTCTTGAGACCCCTATCTCAACCAATGGCTGAGCATGGTAGTTGTATGCCTGTCATCCCAGGGAAGCACAGATAGGAGGATTGTGGTTCAGGGCAGCCTGGGCATAAACCAGACCCTATGTTAAAAATAACTGAAATGAAAACAAAGAAAGGGCTGGCAGTGTGTTTTAAGTGGTAGAGCGCCCACCTAGCAAGCACAAGCCCTGAGTTCCAGCCTCAGGACTGCCAAAAAAAGTGTTCACTATTACATCTGCTATTCACTTTTTAAGCAGAAAACTTTTGTGTAGTTGAAGGAACATTGAGCACCTACGTAGCCAGGGTGATATGCCCTGAACACAAAAAGAGGCAGAAAGTAGAGAATTCTTGGCCTGTCTCCAGCTAAGTGCCAAGGTATATATAAAACTGAAAAAGTAGAGGCAGAACATTAGAAGGGGATGGGGTCCACTGATTCCCATATGTGCAATGAGTGGACATAGGTTTGGGGCCGGATTTCCTAATTTCTTTAAGTCTAAATCCTTCTCCTGGTTCCTGTCACAGAGACTCAGTCTCCACTTTCTTCCTCTAACACATTTCCTGTCTCAAACAGCACCTTCTCATTCTGCCATCTTTTCAAGATCTTTTTTTAATTAGTGACTATTAGTTGTACAAAGTGTTAATTGTATATGTGCATATAATATGCTTTGATCAAAATCACCCTTCTATTTATATTTGCCTTGGTTTTCTACTCTGATTTCCTCCACCCTGGCTCAGGTCATTACCTACTGCTTGAATTATTATAATCATTTCCACATAGTGAGAACCCTTTCTTGAAAAAAACAAACTAAAAACAAAAACAAATAAAAAACCCTTCAATGGGTTTCCAGTGACAAGAGAACATCTAAAATCTTAAACTGTCTGGTAGCCTCCTCATTTTATTTCTCAGTTCTACCTTGCTCAGGTTCTGTGTTCAGGTTAGGACAGACTCCACACAACTTCCCTTATCCTCTCTACTTTTCAGCCTGTTTTCTCTTTATGTCAGATTCTGCATTAAAATGGAGTTCTTTTTCATTTCTCTAACTCAATGTTCCTTGTGCCCTCTTATATGTGAAATAAATGTGAAATCTATCACTGAATACCCCCAGTCACTGTCCTATCCCTAGATGGAAGCAATCATTCTTTATTCTGAATTTCTTCTTCATGTCCCCTTTGTACCCTATGCTGTGGCTACTGCAGGAAGGCAGGGGCCCTCTGACTCACCTCTGTGTTCCCTGCATCTTTTTACTCAGGGGCTGCCATAGAGAGTACTCGATAAATATTTCTTGAAACGAATGCTGCTTTCATTGGTAATAATTGACTTCTCACCGGCTCTAATTTTTTTCAGAAAAACATAATAATATGTTATAAATATTACAACTCTGGAGCAATGTTCTACCATGACACCTACTCACTGGAGGGTACATTTGTTCTTTCGTTTTACTTGATTAAATTCAGTTTTGTAGATAGGTTCATACACTTCCAAATATGCCTTACAAGTTTGATCAGTTTTTCCTGATAATCTTAAATCAAGCTGAGCAGGAGGAGTGAGAATTTATTTCTTATGTGTCCTAGGAGTATGTGTTTGAAATTTAGTGTATTTCCATCAATTTTTTTTTTTTTTTTTTTTTTTTTTTGCTAATGGTACTACAAAAACTACTCATCTTTTACTTTGACCCCTCCAGTAATTTATACGAGCACCTGTCTCTACCACCTGGGTCACACTCCAGGTTTCTTTTTCACACCTCATTACAAGGTCTGCATTTGGCTTATGCTTGGTCTGGTGGCTCCTGGTTCAGAGCAGGCAAATAGCCTGGTGTCTGACTTGGTGCTTCCTTCTAGTGGCTCCTGGTCCATCTCTATCTCCAGGCCCCTTAGACTAGCCAGGGCCTTTTCTGTGTGACTGTGTTTGCTCTGTTCTCATGACTGACAGGGGTGAGCACTATGTTGACCTACCTCCAACTTTCTGAAGATCATATGCTCCTGGAGTACGGAAGCCTGCCACATTTTTCTTGGAGGCTCTCATACCACCCCTAGCTGTGCTGGGTGCTGGAAGGGTGGTTTTCATCACAGCTGTAGGAGCATAACTGGTTTACCATTTTCTTAGGACACTGTTGCCAGTGCCATGGTTGATAACTCTTGGTAGAATATGTTTACAATTTTTAGAGATTACTATATCTTGACTACTCATGTTCATTTTAGCTTCATAGGAGAAATTCCAGAATTTAGAGATAGAGCATATGCATGTTTTTGAAGTACAAATAATCTGTAAGAATGGCTACCAGAAGACTTTGTCTTAACACTTTGTTCATAAATATTTAGTAACTATTGTGAAAATAAACATTACTGTTTTTCATGGCAAGGTGGTTTCTATAGAAATACTGATGCTTAATGTAGCCAGCGATTTATAACATGGAAATGAAATAAGAATGAAGAACCACACATCATCTATTTGTGCAGTAGCAGAGGAGCAGAAGGTCTCTGACTGTTCTCCTGGTCCTATATGGGTTAGGCTCTCATGGGCACATAAGTTCAGCAGAGCAGGGGTCTACAGTGGGACTCTGAGCCATTCACAGGCATTACCAAAGGCCTGCCATTGTTTGTAAAGTGCTTATGAATTGAATAATAAGAACTTAAGAAAGAGAGAGAAAATAAGATTCCAACACAGGAAATCTTTGGGAAGATAATTAATCTTACCAAAAGTAAATGAAAAGTTATATAATCCTATATATGAACTTATCCCTTTGGTTTATGGAAAAGAAGTATACTAATCATCTTTATTTTTGGTAAGGTAGCATAATGATTCCTTTATTTAAAAATTAGTGTTTTAGGTTCTGTTGAGAACTAAGCTTTCCCTTTTCTGATATTATTAATTTTTCTTCACCAATGGCTATTAATTATTTGTGAAATAAAATGTTAGACCAATGATGTTTAGAATGCCAATCATGATGAAGTTCAGAATTGTTGGAAAATGCCAATGGAGCAGACACACTACAGGAACTCTGTCTTGAACTTTGAAGTTCTAGGCCAAGCTAATGGAACAGAAGCCATTCTACTTATAGCTGAATAGAAGAATCTATTTGCAATGGCTAGTTCCACCCAGATTTATATTCTCCTGGCATCCATCCTCACAGAGCACAGCCTCTGGCTTCCAAGCTGCTCATGAGGACCAATGTATCATACCAACCTCACATCCCAGACAGGTAGTTAATAAAAAATGTTGTAAGTTATAAGTATCTAAAAGCATTTAGTTTAAATCACCTGTAAGTCAATGACTACCATGAAATTGTAACTCATACCTAGAGACTATTGTAATATGACCAACATTTCTTAATCCTTTATGGGAACTAAAAATTCAGAAGGTTTATGGATCTTCATACCTAGTCAATTTAAAGATGGGTGAATAACACGTGGGTCAGAACAGAATAATCTTATTAGAATCATTTATAAATATTAAACATCAAAACCAAACTGTCACGTCATTTTAAAGAGAAAGCACTCAAATGACTCCTTTCAGACATAAATATATCTTCTAGGAAATGGGATTATTTATCTAATAACCTCAGTATGCACCTTAGTGGGACACATGCTAGAAGAAAAACAAATGTTTATCAGAATTCATAAAACTATACATGAAGTTCTCAAGAAAAGTTGATGAGTTCGTATGCTTTTCTCAAAAGTTTTTAAAAGTTTAGAGTTTCAAATAAAAACTTGAAGACTTAGATTTCAAGTAAAAAATTAAATTTTACCCATAAAATAAAATTGTTGTTCTTAGTGTATTTTCATTATGAATTACACTTCTCAAAAACTATTTAATTTTTTAAGACATATTTAGAGTAAGAATGAGTAAAACAAAGCAATTTCAATCTTAAAAACTATAAATTTCTACCATCTGTGATTTTTTGAAGTTGCAGCAGTAATTTTAGGTTAAACATGTGTGTCCTTTGTTTCTTTTTTCACTATTTTGGTGGTAAGAGATCATTTGCCAGATGTGGCTTTCAAATGTTCTGTAGACTAGAAAATTTACTGCATATTTTGGACACTGTGCAGAATGCCAAGTTAATTTGTACTTAATACTTCAAGAACACATGATCTAAATGAGGGGATAAAATATATACACAAGTAGCCATGATATAAATTAGAGAGTGACTTAGATGCTGAAAATGGCTAATTGCCATTTCACACATATGTACCAGATATTTCCAATGGTCTGCAATACAACAGACAGCACTAGAACATTCAGTGAAAGATGAACAGAGGAATTTGTAGGCACTTAATAGCCAACATCTTCAGTTGAAGGGTAGGGTGAATATTTTGATGACTTTTATATTTAAACAAAAACCTAGGTAGGATGTTATTTTATTTACATAATAATTAAGCATTTGATTTTGGACAAATAGCTACTTGACAATGATGTTTGCGTTTTTACAGGGCAGTAGAGGAGAAATAGGACCAGTAGGATCCCCAGGCATACCAGGTAAACTGGTAAGTGAGGTCTCCAATCTCTGCAACAGAATACATTTTTAAAATAAGCAAAGGAAGAAAAAACAATATACCAAAGGTCATTTAAGCAATTGTATTTGATTTCTATCATTATGTGAATGTGTGGAAATGTAAACATGAAACTTTGAGACTGTATCTTGGATGTCTTCAGAGGATATTTGAATTAGTGTGGTTCTCAGTATACATTTGAAAACCAAGAGACATAATTTGGTGCCTGGCTGTTCTTGGAATGGAAGAGAACGTGGGTGAACACTGCCTTTTGCTTCTTGTACAGTCCTTGTTTACACAGCAGAAGTGGCAGCACATTGCCAGGCTTGACTGAAAGAGTCCACTGTTGCAAAAGAGTGCAAAGGGAATTGAGAGCCTCAAAGGTGGACCCTCTTGCCCTCAGAGTGTGGGAGAGAGGCAAGCTGAGGAGCAGAGTTATACCAACCACAGCATGTGTATTGTAGACATAAGTCAACACACCAAGACCCTGTCTGACTTGTGAGCTCTCAGCATTGCAGAGACAGTGACTCTGGGGACTCTGTGTTTGTTTTCCAGGGACCTCTTGGCAGCGCTGGCCTCCCTGGCTTACCTGGACCCCCTGGGCTTCCTGGAATGAAAGGTGACAGGGTAAGAGATCCAGCACTCCATAAAGAGCCTTAATTTAGAAGGCTGATTTCTAGTATGTTGAGAAATCAGGCTTGCTTTTGGTCCAATGAGTGATTTTTCTAGAGTTTGTCAGAGAGAGCTATGACAGGTATGAAATGTATGCTAAATTACCATGCTAAAAATATTAATAACTCATTAGAAAGCTAAAAAAGTAAGAAAAATAAAACTTTTAGCTGAAATCATGCCTTCTATTTAGTTCTAAATTTACATTTTTATTAAGTGAAATTTTATGTAGATGTGATCAGAGAATGCCCCCAAGTTACCAGAATTTCTTAGGATAATTGTCACTTTGTCCTGGTTTTCCCCAGTTCTTGCTAGGTGGTGAAATCATATAAACAACTGAAGTTATGTAAACAGCTCAGAATACTGAAAAAGTATTTTATTTTTCCATTACAGGGTGTGTTTGGAGAACCAGGTCCAAAGGGTGAACAAGTAAGTAGTACATTTGATTAGTGGTGTTTGATACACACCACTTCACAAATATATATGGGGAACAGGCTGGTTTTGGGGTGTGACTGAAATGATGGAGACTCATGGTGGCTTTTGCTGTACTTCAAAGTGCTTGAAACCCATAGTTGACTTTGATCTGTGGTCTTACCTATTGTTTTAATAATGATGGATTGTCTCCTGGACGCCATACTGTCCTTCCTTTGAAGAGGGTAGTCCTGTCTCTTTAGTTCACCAGTTTGACTTACTCAGATCTAATGGAGTCTTCCATAGCCACATCATAGTGTTTGAAGTTTTCTTGATTAAGACCTCAGCAAACACCCTGTGCATATGAGTTAGACTCAGCCATTTCTCTGGGTTCCTTTTTCTACTGTAAGAGCCCTCTTTCCAGGGTTACCAAATTACAGACTTGCTGGACAGGGCTGTTAATTTAATTTAACTAACTGAATTACACTCAACTTAATAGCTGGAACACATTTTCACCTCCTCATTTCTTTCTAGGCTTTTTTTTTCCAGTTTGGATTAGCCTGCTAAAAGGAACACTATTGAGAACTTTTTTTTTTTTTCTGCATGATCTTGGAACATTGTGGGCACTTTTGAATGCTTATCAATGTTGACTGGTTAAAGTTGGCCCATGGACTAAGAATTTTAAAATGTGATCTTTTATCTTAATTTTTAGGGTGCCTCTGGTGAAGAAGGTGAAGCAGGAGGAAGGGGTGACCTGGTAAGCTTCTTTTTTTCTGGTTAAATTGTGAAGTTTTATCAATTTTGAACTCTACTAGAAATCTTTCTCTCTCTATATATATATATTTTTTTCTGTTATCTTTAACTCACCACCTTTTTGAAAGTCTAAGATGTTTCTTTTCTAAGTGAACAAAAGACTTCCAAGATTGCAGCCAAGATCAAGTAAAGGAGAGAAGAAACACCCTGCAATTGATAAATCTGGCTTTAAATTTTTAGAGGACTCCCTTACAGATGGTGAATTCTCTTGTGGTCTTGCATCTAGTCGTTCAAAGTTACTTTTATAGAATTATAGAAAGTATGAATAGTGCCTGTCATGGAAACAAAAGTGAAGATTTATTGTAGATAGGAAGCTGTGACTCACAAGTCTGACCAAGCATTCTCTTTACCCTAAAACTCTCCAAAGGAGTGATCTCTATCTCCAGAGAATGACTGATAAAACCCCAGGAAAGCAGTAAGAATGAGAACAAGTTGGGCTGGCGGAGTGGCTAAAGTGGTAAAAGCACCTGCCTAGCAAGTGAGAGACCCTGAGTTCAAACCCTAGTGCCATCACAAAATAAATAGAATGAGAACAAGTTATCTGTACTGATAGAACTGCTTGGTCTGCTGGCTCATAGTTGTGGTTTTGACACAAACTAGCATGACCTAATATGGAAACTTATGTTTTTGTCCTTTGGGGTCAGGATAAGAGATTTTTCATGAAATAGCTCTAGAGAACTTTTCATGCAGGAAAAGATTCTAGAAATGCTTTATTCAGATTTTCAGAGTTTACAGTAAATATAAATGTAAGATTTGAGTTGGGCAGAGTTTCCTAACTACTAAGTAAGTTTGTGATGAGATTATTCCATTTTATTTTCTGTAAAACTGGTTCATTTTAGAATGTTTTAAATTATTCTGTTTTGTATGGAGGTTATCAGATGAGCTGAGCTGAATTAATGGTGGAAGATGTTTAGTTTTTATGCCTGAAGTCTGCATATTTGTTTGATAGACTTTGAGGAATGAATTTACATTACCATTTGAGTTACAAAAATGAAGTTTTAAGTAGATAGGTTTAAATGTCTCTTGTTTTGTAACAAAATGCTATTGTATTATCTTTGACTTACACATTTCAGTTCTCGCTGCCAACCCTTTGAGGTCTGGATGGAACTTGGGTAGCTTTGTTTGATTCCACCCTGCTGTTTAAAGGATCCTGTAGCCAAAGGCTGGGAGGTTGCTCAGCTCACACAGGGTCACAGAGTTCAGTTGCAGAATTGGGACTAGAATACAAATTTTGGGTCTAGTATTTTTCTGCAATGCCAGGATCATAATTTTCTACATTTCAACTGTACAATAGCTTTCATAGTGTTTTAGGAAACTATCAAGTGTGAATATGTTGTTCTAATGTAATTTTGTTTTCCTGATTTAGGGAGATATAGGATTACCTGGTCCAAAGGGATCTGTAAGTATAATGAACGTAATGGCATAAAAGATTAAAAATATCAATAAAGATGTAGAAAATGTAATGATCTTCTTTATGAAATCAATGTATAAACTTCAACTTTTAGAGGTCTTACCTTCAAGGAAATAAATGTCTATAATTACTCTTTCTGTAGTGGATTAATCCGAAAGAAAAAAAAATCACAACTGTGTAAATAGATCTACCTTTTTTTCCAGACAGGGTCTCATGCATCAAACTCACTAGGTAGTCCAGGTTGGCTTTAAACCAGGAATCATCCTGCCTCAGCCTCTCAGAGGCTGACATTACAGGCATGTGCCACCATGGGTGGCTTTGGATTTCTTTTGAACTAACCACTCTAAAGGAAGTTTCTTTTTTCTAATACAAATGGCTCAATTTGTACATGGGAATACTTTTAATTTCATCCCCAAATGGGTCACTTTTAAAGAGCTGACTTCCAGTGGGAGAGTATAACTGAATTTTATTGGCAAAATATTTCAGTAATTTTCTTAATTTCTTCTATGTTCTAGTTGAGGAAGGAAGATAGAAGCATAAGACACAAGAAAACATAAAAGAGAATTATTAGAACTAGAAAATGATCAGCTTGTTCAATTTCATCATTTTATAGAAACTAAACCGAGGACCTCAGAGATTAGATGGATTCAGAATTATAGATTCAATTGGTATGCAACCTGGGGTGATTTGCTAATTTGCAAGGAATGTACGTCCACTAGACACTGAAGAAAATATAAGGAGAAAAGGTGAAGCTCAGATCCACCCCCAGCTCCCCATGCATTTATAAGTCCTTCCTGTTTCTGGAATATTCCCATTTCTCTGTCTCTATCCAACAAATTATCCTCACGGAAGCGAAATCTAATTTAAACGAAAAGAAAACCTACTGTGCAACACTCCTTCACTCAAAACCCTTCAAAAATAACATTTTATAGAATAAAATCTTAGCAAGGCATACAAAGCCTTTGATGAAGTGTTCTTGGGTTTCACTTGCATATCTGGAACTTTACTCATTTGCAGTTCCTTTTATGTGCCATGTCATTTAGCATTTTCACTGTTCTCCTAGTCTGGAATGCACTTCCTCACACTTACATGTTGGGTTCATTGTCTGCTTTACTTTGTCGAGGAGGACCCACCCCGACTTGGTTACAGTGCCCAGCCTTGGGCTCTTGCACACCACTGAAATGGATATTATAATATGAAGTGATTTACCTGCCTCTAAACACCAAGTTTCAAGTGACATTTGTTGCCTAAGAATCCTTGAAGGGAGTGGTTTAGGATTGAGCAAGTGAACCTTATAATGTATGGGAATAGGAATCCTATGTCACTGTCTGGAAATACTCAGTAATGTTCCCTGGAAAGAGTTCAAATGGTAAAAGAAAAAATCAGTCATAATGCAGGATCAACACAAGTTAATTGTATTTTAATTTGGACATAATTAGGAATTAGCCCTTAGTTCATCACTTCTGTCCTATCCCTTTCTTACCTGGCACTGCTCAGGTAATGTGATGAAATTGTGTTGCCCTGTCCCAGAATGAAGAGAAATGGTTACCATAGACTTTCACTTTCCTTACTGATTGCACCACAGATGAAGTGGGTAAGGAGATGTCTGTCACTGACTTCTACTTCTGTGTACTACTCTTCAACTGAGGAATTCTTCCCCAAAGATCCAGGACCCTTAGGACATCCTAGCCATGTGGCCCTTGATCTTATCAGAAGGTTTCTGCCCCTTAGTCTAGCAGTATTTTAGCCACGGCCAGCAGAGTATGCTCCGCTGGTCTTTTAGTGCACTTTTCAGTTCATTTTTGGCTTCTCTTATGGTTGTTTTAGAAGTTGTTAAAGTTTTCCACTCTGGGAACCTGACAGTTCTGCAGCTTTCCATAGTACATGTTTAGCTCTCTTTTTGACACTGTTTTTCAGGAAACCTTTTGTGTGTGTGTGTATGAAACTGGGGTTGGAACTCAGGGTCTCACACTGGCTAGGAGAGAACTCTACCACTCGAGCCATTCCCCTGGCCCTTTTTGGTTTAGTTTCTTTTTTAGGTAGGGTCTCCCTTTTGCCTGGGCCTGCCTTGGACTGCATCCCTCCTACCTATGCTTCCTTTGTAGCCAGGACACACTTGCCACGATTCATCTGGATATGCCTAAGGAAAGCACTGCTTCTTCACCTTCTTCCCTTGGATTTAAAATACTTGGACATTTGAAAGAGTTAGCCCCTTTGTAGATAACTGCTGCGTATGAAACAGAGGCAGGATGCCCTTGCTTTGTGACCATCATGTCTTGAACGCTAGCCTTCCCCTTGCTGCCTCTGGTCCTTTCATCTTCTCCTTGTCACTCTCAGTATCCGTTGCATTGTTGCTTCTCTGCCACAAATTCTAATGGAGGAATTTTAATAAATTTTAGTTTCATAAAAACTTAGTCTTCTTTTAAAGTCTTTTTAACTTAGTCTCTTTTAAAAGCAACCACTGTAGATGAAGAGTCTTTTAAATGCTTTTAGTGATCTGCTTTCAGAAAAAAATTCCAACTCTTACATGCTTTCATGCTGAGGAAACAAGTGGATTATAAGTTTTTTAATATTTAGGTTTTAACTTCCTTAATTCTTAAACTGTGAACCTGAATTTTTTTGACTCAGTATTTTAAATACAGCATTTTAAATGTGGTATTTTAAGTACATTGGTTTAGTTTACATTAGTATTTTGTATTTCCTAGATATACCTAGTGTTTTCAGATTCACTAAAAGAAGTGAGGCTACGTAATTTATTTTTCTGGAATTATCTTCATTTTATGATTGCTATATTGTTGATACCCAGATAGCATATCTTGAAATAACTCAGTGGCCAGAAAATGCTAACAAGCCTTATTAAAAACTAGCTTCCATGGGGTGAGTGTGTAGCTAAGTGTGTGCTTAGCATGTGAAAGGCACTGGGTTCCATCCCCAGCATTAAAACAAAACCAAAAAAGAATCCCAGACTACTATCTTGCTCATAGGAAGTAGCTAGGTATGAAGAATGTGGTTTTTAGACTATAATTAGCCCAATGATTTTGAAATAATAAATAATAAATTTTTTTACAAGTTTCCCTGGACTGTTAAGCCTGTTGAAATCACTATAAGAAAGGGAGTAAAGTAGAAAGGAGAAAAATAAAGGATATGAACCAATTCAGGTTATAATACATATATACATGGAAATGTCACAATGAAATCCCCTGTATTATTTTTAAAAACAAAAATGTCTTTTTTTTTTTCTCAAAAACGGAGAACAGGAAAGTAAACCCAGTTCTGTTCGAGGGTTAGCACCAGCGGGAGGAGGCAAGGATATTAGGAAAGGGTGTGGACGGTGAATATGGTGGAAATAGTATGTACTCATGTATCAAAATGGAAAAATGACATCCGTTGACACTATTCTAAGAATGGAGGGATAAAGAAGAATAATGGAGTGGGTGAATTCAACTATGATGTATTGTAAGCACTTTGGTAAATGTCACAATGTACCCCCAGTACAGCAATAATAGGATAGCAAAATTTTTTTTAATAAAATGAAGTACACAATGATTAAAAAGAAACAAAAACAAGAGGGTGAGTTATGGAGTGGCATTACGTATCTTCTGAGAGAAACTACTTAGAAGATAGAATGTAGGAAACCTAGAATTTCCTGCAAGTGTTTGTATTGTACTCAACTGGCACAATACTTGTGTCTAGCTCTGCTTTTACAGTGCTCTATTGTGTTCCAGGAAGGTAACCCTGGGGAACCTGGCTTGAGAGGACCTGAAGGAAGTCGGGGACTTCCTGGAGTGGAAGGACCAAGAGGACCACCTGGACCCCGGGGTGTTCAGGGAGAACAGGGAGCCACTGGCCTGCCTGGTGTCCAGGGTCCTCCGGTGAGTGCTGGGCAGTTCTTGTGGTTCCCCTAGCAGTGGGCACACTACATACCAGTTCCTCAGCAGCAAGCTCCCTTGTCAGTCCAGCCCCCAGATCCTTGCAGTGGCTGTCACTTTACAATTTAACCATGTTCTCATTCCAGTCCAAGAATAAACTGTCTTGTTCTTTCCTGTCTCAGGGCAGAGGTCCGACAGATCAGCACATTAAGCAGGTTTGCATGAGAGTCATGCAAGGTAAATAAATCACATGCTTTCACTTTTTCCACCACAAACTCTCGCTTCTTAAGCTTTTATTCTTGCAAGTATGCAAGGGTAGCTGATAGTAATGTTTTGCATGCTTTAAAGGTGGACGATTTTGAGTAATATTAACGCCAATTTTGTTTTATTCAATTGTTGTCATCTCTAACAGTTTATGGTCTCATAGCAAAATAAGCCTTTCTGGGTTAGCCTGCTTTCTTTTTTCTCTTTTCTTCCAAGGGATTGGGAGTAATTTATGACAAAGTATATGTACATATACCCACTCCCTACCTTTTCTTTCAAACACAAATTCTCGGTACCCTGTTCCTTATATCCTACCATTTAGTGTATATCTTGGACTATCCTAGATTTCCTTCTAAATTATGTGAGAACTAAATGACAGACTCCATGCCTATAGGACATTATTTCTACTCGTGTACTATAAGTAAAAAAGCAATGACAGTATCTTTCCAAAATGGTGATATGTTTTTACACTTGTAAATCTTTATCTAAATTCACCTATAGTTGTGGTGATTGTTATTTGTTTCAGAACTGATCTAGTTATGAAACCTCACAGAAAATGAAGATATGCCAAACATACTCTACAACTAAGGAGGTCCTGTGACCTTGGAGTCTTCTCACAGAAAATTATTCTGGTGTAACTAACTCTGTCCTGAAGAAATACTCTTCTGTATGCTCACTACCCAGTCCCTTTTGTCTGACAGACTTTTGCAGAAGCAAAGAGGAATGAAATGAACTCTTCTATATTTGAAAGCCAAATAAAGTGCAGACACTTTATCCCAAAACTCCATTTCAATCTTAAACATTTTGTATCTAGACAATTATAATTTTATGTTTACTTGAAGAAGACAAATTTAGAATATTCACATTTAAGTAATTTTCAAATGTTGGCTAGAAATTTGTTTCCAATTCAGGTTCTTGTTCACCCCCCTAAAGCTTAAAAAATATTATACTAGCATTATAAAATGCTCCCTGAGAGCATTTTAATGAGGGAGATTTCTTGCATTCCATGACTTCAGTGGGTGATTCTGAATCTATTTAAATGTCCCTGAAAAAGCCCACAGTTACTAATTTTTAAGTCAAACCTTGACCATTCTCAAGGAAAGGTTATTTTTAATGATTGCTATCTTTTCCAAACTTGAAAAAAAATGTGAAGGGAGAATTTATAAGAAACCATGAATCCTCATTTTATTACATAAGAATATCTTTTAAAAGTTTTTGATGCTGGGTCTCAAACGATGCCGGTCCTGAATGCTAATTCTGGATGATGTCCTTGGTCTTAAAAAAGCTTCTGGACAGTACTTCCACCCATGTTAAGACACTCAGTTTTCTCCCCATCATGAGTTTTCAGATATCCAGCTGGGATTCAGGTAGCACACTCATCGTTCCAGAATACTCCTCGTCCCACAGCTGTGCAATTTAGTGCTCCCTCACTAGCTCAGTGCAGCAGGAACAAATGCATCCAAGAGAGCCGAACATAAAACAGCATGAGTGATGCTTCCTGCCAGAAAGCCCATGGACAAAGTAACCAACTTTATTCCTTTCTTGCCTCTGGTGTCCAAGCTTTGGTGATGTGTTTAGGAAAAAAAAGGCATTTGGAACTATGGGCGACTCACCTGGGTTGTGTCCATCATCTTTCAGAGCATTTGGAACCTCTGTTCATTGACTCTCTGCCATGTCTGACTCACCTGGGTCATGTCTGTTATCTTTCAGAGCATTTTGCTGAGATGGCTGCTAGCCTCAAGCGTCCAGACATGGGTGCCTCGGGTCTTCCTGGAAGGCCTGGCCCCCTGGCCCCCCAGGGCCCCCTGGAGAGAATGGTTTCCCAGGTCAGATGGGAATTCGTGGCCTCCCAGGCATTAAAGGTCCCCCTGGTGCCCTTGGTTTGAGGGGACCTAAAGGTAAGCTATTTTGCCCAGATGGAGCCAAGGAACACACTGACCTTGAATATGAATAAGTAATCTATATTCAAGCTCATGACATTCATGTTTTATCAATTCCTGAATATCTTACGAGATAATATGTGTTATTCTGTTTTACTGTAGTGATAGTAAAGATTTGAAAACTCTTATATAATATTCTGTTGACCAAACTAGAACTAAGCTCCCTTGGCATTTAGTACTCATCTTGCTCAATTATACTCTGTCTTAAACAGAGTTCAAAACAAACCGTATAGGATCTGATAAGGGATGAGTCAACAATTTTTTTCTAGGTCTCTAAAGTCATTGAAGAGTTCTTCTGAAATTGCAACCATCTTTAGAATGTATGTCTTACTAAAACTAAAACAATTTGTTAGCAGGACAAATCATCATACATAAGAGTGGCTTCCCTCTTCTTTTACAAAGTGACATTGGTTATTAATTTTTGATGCATTTTCTTCAGCTCTGATGTACACTCTAACTCTATTCCCTATTTAGTACTTGAGTTTGTTCACTTTTATTTTAAACACGCTAAGTCCTTCCAGAAAGACAGGGCTGTGAGTGTATAAGGTAGTCTGCAGGACTGGCTTCAGTCCATTTCTTTTGGCTTGGTTGCCTGAGGTGGTGTCTGCTAGTTGGGGTGAGTAGTATGTCAGCTCGAAGTGCATGTGCCTTGGATAATTTACAAGGATTAAATAAAGTGAGGAGTTTCTATATCATGATGAGTTACTGACAGCTCTCTGGGGAGCTTCAGAAAGAAATGGCCTCAAAACTAAGAGGTCTTTTTTTTTTGTTAATATCCTGGTGCTCCAATTAGGGATAAATATTATGGTGTGGATGGTCAAAGGCCAAGCAAGCTGCCTTTCTGGATCTATAAATGAATTGCTGATGCAGTTGGCCTACTAGACCCTCAGCTGGAACAATTTTTTTAATTACTTCTTTTTGGCACATACAGAACTGCATGTTAAAAACTGAGCTCTAATTGGGACCTCCTGTAAGGCTGGCACAGTATCAAAACTTTCAGAGACTGGACAATTCATACAGAGAAGGAGAGTGAGCTGAGAGGAGAGTCCATCTTAAAGAGACCTGCACTTTCTCCAGAAAGTCACCACACCTCCTCCAAAAAGTCACCACACCTCCTCGTCTTTGTTCTGTCACTAGGGAGTCCTGGGTGCTTTCTCTGGGTCATCCCACTCACTCTGCCACCTTGGGTGGGTTATTGGCTTACTTGGATCTGTTGGGCACAGCCCTTGGAGAATGACGTCGCCTTTCCTGAGTCTCTTTCAGAACAGTGGTTGTGAGAGGTCCCCTGGAGCATCAGCATCACCATCACCAGGGATCTTGTTTAGGGCCATGAATTCTCTGCCCCATCCATACCCACTGAATCAGAAACTCTGGGGTAGAGCCTAGCATGCTGGTTTAATAGGATCTCTGGTGACTGATGCAGCAAGCACATTGGCGTGGAGAAATCAGTCGGTCATTTTCCTATGGAAGGAGAACACCAAACAATTGCAGCCCTGTTTTGTGTTGTTTGTTTGTATCTGAAAGGAAGTCTCCATACTTGGAACAGAGCTTCACTTTGAGCTAGCAGCACAATGCTTCCTTAAGAAACGAAGATGTGCATGTTCCTCTGCTGGAGCAGCTTGGGTAAAGTTGCCGGTCTTGGCTTTGGCCACACATTGGCATCATCTGAGGAGTTTTTAGAACTATCCATGTCTGGGTCCCAGGTCCAGAGATTCTGATTTAATTGATCTGGGCTTTGGGATTTAAAACTATTTCCCACGTGATTTGAATGTGCAGCGATGGTTGAGAACCTCTGAACACAAAAGTGAGTTGTTGGGAAACTTTTGGAGAAGCTCTTAGCCACATTGAATTGTGGTGAGGCTGGACTGGTTTGGTTAAACTGAAAGGAAGAAAAGTATATTTCTCTACTGGAACCTGGAAAATGTCTTTAGCACTAAGTTCACTTGTCATCCAGAGCTGGATCATATGAGCTAGCTTCCTCTATTTATTCTTCAGTATTTACAACAGTCTGTCTTCTGAATGACTTTTCTCTTCCAAGCTTCTATCCCTTACCATTTGAAGTAGCCATCTTCCTTCAGCTTTACTCTGAAATTTGATGTGGCAGCAGGAAAGGGTAATCAGATTTTTTTTCGTTGTTTTTAATCAATCAATGCTGTTAAAATTTGTAAATATATAATTCTAGGTACCTGAACTTGACCTTTCTTGTCCCACCAACAGCATTTAATATAAAATATATATTTTCTATTATCCAAAGGTTTGCAGCTCAGTTTTTCCCTCAAAAAAACCACACACACTCCACCATTTTTGAAACTCAAATTTTCAGCAATAGGAGAAGAGATGTAGTTTATTGCTGCCTGTTGTTACCTTTCCCCCATCATTCCTAGCAAACAGTGGGTAGTATTAGTCTTGCTCTACCATAGAGTCACTTGGAGTCTTTTTCCAGAGAAATTATTACATAAATAAGATAGCTAGTTTTATTAGAAATGCTTTTAACAGCTCAGGCTATGTCTTCGTCAATGTTTTCCTCCTAGAAAATACACTGAACACCATAGTGGAACATTTTCAACAGGAGCTCTAGAATCCTAGTCAAAGCTTAAATCACATGTAATTTCTTTGTTTTTCACTGACGTGCTTTATATATTACACAGACTTGTAGGTCCAAGGCATAATGAGGGATGTCAAAGTGGCCGTATGCTCACTTTGCTCAGTATTACATCAGTCTCTCATGCATAAATATTATTTTAAAAGACTCACAGTTTGGATTACTTTTAAGTCTTTTTGGTAAGGCAATATATTTTAGATATTTTGGTGTGAGCCCAACAGAGCTGTCAATATGTAAATGAAAGTTTGAGAAAATAGAGATGTTGTAACAGGGACTGACACCTTTTTCTCCATTAATGTGCTCACAGGGAGAGTGTGTCAATCACAGCTTGCCAACAACTGAAATAAATAGCAACTGCACAGCAACAAGAATTTCCACTCTGTTTGTGTGGAGTTGTGTTTCTAGTTATACCTGATGTAAAACTTTTTAATTTTATTATTTTTTTGGCAGTATTGCGTTTGAACTCAGAGCCTTGTACCTCCTAGGAAAGCCTTTTAAAAAGAAGATCTGTATCTGTATTTGCATTTTCTGACTGAGTAGGCTAACAAAGGGGGCTTTGGCTCTCAAGTCAGTTTTTTGTACATCTCAAAGTAGAGATGACCATAATTTGTAAAAGTTGATGAACCCGTGTGTAAAGCAGCCAGCACACATGGTGCGCGTGGAGCAGCAGTTTGCATGGTGGCTCTGTCTTAAAGCTGCCTTAATTTTTTTCCCCTATGGCCAATAACCCAAAGACAGCTTCACAAGACAGCAGTCTTACTTCTTGCAAATAATGTTTTACAGTTGGTGTGGCATCAGGGTGGGATGTGTAAATAAGCTAAACTTTCACTGTCGATGTGATCGCTCATCTCCTCATCTCCTGAATTCAGTCAGTGTGGCACATTTGGAGATTGTCTTCTCATCAGCCAGCCTCCAGATCTACAGAGCTATGACATTTAAATTGCTAAGTTAACAAGACTTCTTCAGCTGTTAGTTTTTAAGATGCAAGTTGCAAATCCTCCTAATATAGTAAGGCTGTATTGATGACGAGTGAAAAAAGAGCTAGTCTTTGTGAATATGAATTTCACATAGCTCTGTGTCCTTGCATGGTACTTAAACAAGTTTAAATTGTTTTGAAAATGTAGTTGACTCATCATTAAAAAAAAATCCACATACGAGTATTTACAGCAAAAATCAAATTATGGTGACTTTAAACATACACTTCATAATTGGCTTTTGACTATTTGATGAATGTGCAGATGACTGTAAAGATACTCTTCCTGCTTTTGCTGTGCACCCAACTTTGTCCTTTAAACTATAACAAATTTGACTCAGTACTGAATAAAGATGGTGTGATATGGATGTTTGGAGAAGGCGATTGTGTGTCTTCACATTGCTGTGAAATGACGTGTCTTCTAATAGTTTAGCAGAACAGTAATGTATGACTGTACTAGTGGGAGAGTAGGGTGGTAGACCTCATTTAGGACCAGTTAACCAAGCTATCAAAGCATTTTGTTCGTCAGGCCAGTTTCTGGATTTGGTCTCTGCAGGGAACCAAAATTAATTAGTACATCTTTGTTCTGTGGCTGCTAAATGCCCAAATCCCATCAACTTGTGTAAGTGTCTCCCAGTGCACACAGTTGCTTCCAATCCAAATTTATATCCTCTATAAATAATGGGTCAAGAGTGGGAGACACTTGTGATAGCACACTTTAAATTTTTTAGATTCATTAATTTATTTTTGGTAATACTAAATTTACATTGGTCCAAAAATGTCTGAAAGGCATTTAGGGAAAATTTCTCTTTAGCCACTTTCTCCCACCTGCTTGGTTTCCTTTATCTTTACCATTATTATTAGTGTCTTACAAGTCCTTATAAACCATTATAGTAAGGATATATGCGTATGTATTTTCCCTGCATCCTTTAAGAAACAGAATCACATTGTCCTTTAGCAAGCAATCTGGACCTTGTTTCTTGTTTTTTTGCTTAACATTATGTCCTAGAGATCATTCCAAAAAGCTTCCTGGTTCTTCTTCACAGCTGCATGGTATTCCATTTTATGGACATCCCATAATGTTTAACTTTTTAATGAACCTTTAGCTTGCTTCCAGTCTTCTGCTATTACAGCAAGGTTGCATGAACAACAATGTTTATCTTTGTACAAAATATCAATGTACACTCTTATCTCTACCTCTAATTCTATCTCTAACCATTTCTAGGATACATTTTTAGAAGTAGAATTGCTGAGAAAAACAGAACTTCACTTTGAAATTTTGGTAACTATTGTCAAACTATCCTCCAGGAAGACTGTACCAATTTACACTCTGATCATTAATATGCAATACTGTATTTCTCTATAACTTGCTAAATATGTTTAACTTCAGAAATTTTGCTGATCTTATTGTTAAAATAGCATCTTTGTTTTTTAAAATTTGCATTTATTTTGTTATGGTAGTGAATTCAGAAACTTTCTCATGTATTAATTTTAGTGACTTGCCTACTTATGCATTTTGCTCATTTTAAATTGTGTTGTTGGTCTTTTTTGTATTCACTTTAGGAACGAACATTGCATATTCTGAATTATAAGTAGATAGGCCAACTCAAATTTGAAGTTTAAAAAAAATCTGCCTTACTTCCTCCTGGTTCTTAAATATTTGACCCTTTTGTAATTTGTCCTGGAATGTGGTATGAGGTGTAGAGCTATGGCTTTAACTTTTTCCCGTTGACTGCCCACTTCCAGCACCATTTGTTGAACTGAATTGTTCCTTTCCACCTTTTCCACCTGCTTTTATTACGAATGAATTCCTGCTTGCTTTTGGCCCTGGTTTGGCCTTTGTCTTTTGCCTCACTGCTCTGTCTGTTCATAGATTGGTACCACAGTGGTCTGTCTTCATAGCTGGTGGGATTAATTCCCTTGGTGTTGCTTTTCTTGGGGGTGGTGGCTGTGGCTATTCCGACGCACATGATTTTCTGTACAAGCTTCAGACCCACCTTCTCTGGTTGAAAATGTTTGTGTTGCTGTTGTTGTTCGGATCATGGTGATTATTCAGCTTAGGGATGGCCATAGCTCTGTATCTGTTAGAAGGGCTCTATTGCACTCATGTATGTGCATATTCCTAGTGACTTAATATTTTAATTGTTATTTACATGGTATGCGTTTTAAAACTATATCTTACAGCTGGTTGTTTATATATATGAAAATTATTAATTTCTATATATTAATTTTGTACCCTGCTAGTTTACTGAATTCTTTTAGTGTATGTAGTAGATTTGGGGTTTGTTTTCTAGTTTTAAAATCTATACTCGTATCATGTGACAATAGGTGTGTTGTTAACTTCCCATAGCAAATGGTGTACAGCTCGCTTCTTTGTTTCCCAGTAAGCCTTAGTGAGTTTTTGGGTCAAGGTGAATACCGTGTATCATATTGAGGGAGTAGCCATTGATTCTTATTTTATTAAATGTCTCACCAAGTAAGGATGCTTGTCCAATTTGATGAAATGCCATTTCAGTGTCTGTGGTTATGATCACTTGACCTTTTCTTTTTAGATCTGTTAATGTGATGAACTTGGTTTTATCTTGCTAGATATTTACTGCAATCTAGTTTATAGCAACCTTACGCCCTTTGGTTTCTGGATTTGGCTTTGCTTACAGTTTAAAATACAGAACTTTATTTTTATAGATATATAGAGAACTAACATTTCTTTAATGAAATGCAGGTGACTTGGGAGAAAAGGGGGAGCGCGGCCCTCCAGGAAGAGGCCCCAAAGGTTTGCCTGGAGCTACAGGTCTCCCAGGTAAGTGAGTCTGGCAGGATGAGGTGGAGAAGCTGTTAGGCTTCTGGATTGACTAACACTTCTCAGTATATCTAGTGATTATAATAGCTGGCAAAGATTTTTCTCGACCAGCTTTAATGAATTAAATGATCTATAAGTCATAATTGAATTCTTTGTGAGAAAGTACATGTCAATATTAAAATACTAATTTCTTAATTTTTTAAGAAAAATGGTGTCAAAGTTCAGCCATAATCCACTTGTTACAAAATCTGAAAGAATAAAGTCATATTCATTATTAGCCCATATGATGGTTTCTCATTAAAAATATTATTATTATTATTAATATTTTGTGGTGCTGCATATCAAATCCAGGGCCTGGCACCAAACCCAGAGCTGTATCACTGAGCTTTGCACACCAAGCCTCTACTTTTTAAATACACAAAGTCAGAGCAGTTGGAAAATTAATCCAAGTTTTCAGCTATTCCTGTTGCATGAGGAATAACTGAAACTTTATTTTAAAAGTTCTCCTTTCAAACATCCAGATCCTCCAAAAATCTTTATCCCCTAAAAAAAAACAAACCCAAGCATTCCTACTCATAGCCACAAAGAACCCCACAGAGCCACAGATCACAGCTGCATGGACAGCGGCAACAGAGCTGCCTTTGTGTAAGGAGCCTGGCTCTTACTGGGCATTCGGTGTTCTTCACACACTGACTACCCTGTCCCAGGGTGCAGGTTTGAACACACACATTCCTTGGGAAATGATCTGCGAACCCAAGCAGCACAGCAGGACCAAAAGCCAGCTCAGTTTGAGTTTGAATGATGTGTAGACTTCCAGCAAACTCATGGTGGCTGAGGTGATGGCTTAGGGAAGCCCTCCAGCCCTTGGAAGTCTGTTGCTGGGCAGAGCCAAGATGAGAGGGTTTGCAAGCTAAAAAAAAAAAAAACGTGAGGTGGTGCTGGTGCTGGGTTCCTCTATAATAGAGTTAGAAAACTTGGTTTAGGGGAATTTAGGAAAAGAAATGGCCATTTTGTAATTCTGCCAGAGGCTTACATATTTAATCATGGCTGTATTTGTAGCCAAAAACATCATTGTATTTCAATTATCTATTTCGTTGCTCCTGGGATTGCTTTCTTATTAAAATTTTAAAAAAGCATGAACACATTTGGAGATGGCTCAAACACTGCCTTTCTAAAACTATGATTCATGGGCCTCTCAAAATGTTTTCACAAATTAATAATTATTTTGTGACTGGAAAAGGAAGTGTCTCTGATTGCAAAAGGGAAGAAAATCTGTTTGAAGCAAAATAGGATCAAGGGAAACTTTTAGGGCAGGAAAAAGTAAGTGTGGATTCCCTGATGGATGTTTAGGAGAAACCAAGAATGCCTTCCTTCCACCTGTGGGAGGGATTACAACTAGTTAAATGTCATTATAGCCATACATTTATAGAATTGCCTAACAACTTCGTCTCCATTTGTTGACAAATTATTTAATAGTTCCTGAACCAATGACTTTTGCTACTATTAGAAACATTTTCCTTTACTGAAAATACATAATGGTTTCTACTGATTCTTACTTTCAAAACATCTGAAGGTAAAAGACATTTTAATTTTAAAAACAGATTTAGGAACACCAGCTCTGCATGTGCAGTGCCCCAGGTGGCACATTATTTGCCACCTGCAGTAAGTCAGTCACCTGGAGGAACTGAGTCTGACTCCACGGGTGAACAGGGTGCTCCTCAGACACTGCTTTGCTGGTGTGCTTTTTCCTACATCGGATCATCGGTGTGTGGGTGGGATAAAGCCTGCCCTGGTTCTCATCTTTGCGCCTCTATGAAGAAGAGAGAAAATCAAGAAAATTGTAGCTCGTCTTGGGTTTAATACCTAAATATGATTTTTAAAAACATTTTGTGGACTCCCTTTTTCAGGCCTCCTAAACCCTGCCCTTTTCCTATTCCTCTTCTTTTCTTCCTTTGACCAATCTGGTAGGACTTCCAGAACCATCCCGGTTCTTTTTTTTTTTTTTTTTTTTTATTCATATGTGCATACAATGCTTGGGTCATTTCTCCCCCCTGCCCCCACCCCCTCCCTTACCACCCACTCCGCCCTCTCCCTCTCCCCTCTACCCCCTCAATACCCAGCAGAAACTATTTTGCCCTTTTCTCTAATTTTGTTGTAGAGAGAGTATAAGCAATAATAGGAAGGAACATGAGTTTTTGCTGGTTGAGATAAGGATAGCTATACAGGGCATTGACTCACATTGATTTCCTGTGCATGTGTGTTATCTTCTAGGTTAATTCTTCTTGATCTAACCTTTTCTCTAGTTCCTGGTCCCCATCTCCTATTGGCCTCAGTTGCTTTTAAGGTATCTGCTTTAGTTTCTCTAAGTTGACATCCCGGTTCTCTGATTGCTACCCACCCCTCACCTCTCATTTTCTTCCTTCTCACATTGAATTTCACCTTCTCACTTTCTTTCCTGTGTCTCAACTTTGTGTTTTGAGAGGACTTTTGTTACATTTCAGTTGAGAGGATATCTGACATTACTTAGTGAACGATCTCAGTTCCAGATTGTTTCTCAAAACTACAGGTTAACTTTCAAAAGCACAGTTACTGGAGAAGGGGGTCAGCTGCTTGACAGTATTCTAAGAGCTTCAGCACACAGACACACTCATGACACAGATCAGGTCACATGCCTTGGTGAAGGGTCTCAGATTATGAGTGACAGAGCGACATATTCTTGCTTCCCAAACCCAGGTTCATGAAGTGGGTGAAATGATGGTTTTTTTTTTTTTTTTTAATCATCCTAGCTGTGTGACTAGGGCATATTCCCAGCCACTTAGTATCTCACTTCCTTTTTTGCCTCTGCCCCAGAAATAGGTGGATCATATTAGTGATCCCTGGGACTTTGGTCTCCCCGAGCCCTTCCGAACCCTTCAGTTTGTGTTACTGGGAGACTGGCAGTTCATTAAGATGCCTGCTGCCACTGAACCTGGCATGTGTGATTAATTCCTTGGCCACTGAGGATTTTAAGAAAAAATATTGAATAACAGATCCTGACTTCTTTGAGCCTTGAAACTCACTAGGGAAAGGGATAAATTAAATAACAAATCTTACAGGAATGTGACCCGTGAACTGACATGCTTTTCCCATCTTGGCCACGGAAGTTATACTTGGCTTTGTGCAAAGTTTGCAGATAGGTGAGCTTTGCTTGTGAATATTGAATGGAAAAACAAATGTTCAGTTTATGTTTAAGTTTTGTGATGGCCCTTTATTGGTGCAGTTATTTTATTTAGTTGTAAAATCTTCTATAAACCAATTTACACCAATTCCTTAAATTTACACTCCTTTGTCAAATATCACAAAAGTAAGTTCAGTATAAGAAATGTAACTTTTGGTTCATTCAGAAAGTTTACGTAACCATTGGGTTAATCACTAGATAGCCTATTTAATGCTGAAAATTACTTGCAGCTTTTTTTTTTTTTTCCTTTTCTTTTTGCCTACATACAGTCCCTTTCATTCTACAGCGTGTAATTAACTTCCTCTTTCAGAATGTTCCAGCCAGGATCAGCCTCCATCCATGAAACATGGCTGCCCTCTAGTGTTCACACAGAGAATGACATGGATACCCATTTTACCATGTAATCAGTAGTCAGTTTGTAGAGCTAATTAGGGAAAGCAGAACGAGAACGCTTCAGATCCACGCTTTCCCTTCCTCTTAAGAGATGCAAAGTAGCACTCGGATATTCTTTAATGTAACTGCTGGAGTAAATATGCTATTTGTGAACAGCGGTAGCAAGTCAGCTTCACTTCTCGCAATACCCGGACTGTGACATTGGGTCACCCCAAACGAGGCTCCCACCCTGCAAGTTTAGGGCATCCTTGAGAGCAAACGAATTGGGCCATGGCTCACTAGAAACTGACAAGCTACTCCGTTAAGGCTGTTTATTTCCTCAGAGCAACACTTCATAAAAATATCTTAGTTTTTTATGATAGAGGTCTGTAAGAATCAATCCTATCTCTCAGTTATTGTTGCTTTTTTTTTTACTTCATTTCAACCGAGGACCAATGAACTAAATACCACTACCACACACATGCCCTCTGCAGAGTTGCCAAATCAACGTGCATGTGTTGGAGCCATGGTTCAGGCCTCATTTCTGACTGCAGCACTTTCTGGCTCTATGACTATGGTAGCTATTTAGCCTTCTTAACTCAGTTTACCCCGAAGGAAAAGGGGATCAGTAATGAGCACAGTGCATGGCACATAAGAAAGGGAAATTTTAAAAAGTGCTGATGATGGTGGTGACATTATCCAAAGTTCCAAAGGGTAAATTGCTGTACTTGCCAGAGGCAGAATGGGGCTCCATGTGCTTTTTGTAATATAAATTGAAGGCAGACAGGATGTCTTCATTGACTCTTTCCTCAAAGAAGAAACAGGAATTTGGAGTAAAATCAACAAGCTAAAAGAAATTATCCTGGAATGTGCTAAAATGTGAAATCTAAATGTGAAAAGCGAAAAAGTTTTCTTTTTTTTTTTCTTTTTGGCAGTGTAGCAGTTTGAATTCAGGTTCTTGCACTTGCTAGACAGGTGCTGTGCCATTTGAGCCACACCCTTCTGTTCCTTTTGTTCTTGTTTTTTCCAACAGGGTCTCCTATTTATGCCCAGGATGGTCTGGGCCATGACCCTTCTGTTTACGTTTCCTGCACAGCTGGGATGACAGGCATGCACCACCACGGCAGGGGGCTAGCCTACAACTGTTAAAGAAAATGTTGAGTTAGTTGTTAGCATTTAAAACTCTAGAGCTATTTATTTAAACACTCAGCTCCCTGGCTTCTCTTGAAAATTATTGGGTGTTCTGGCAACACTGGCCCACGTCCCCTTGCAGCTGTCAGCAGAAGCACACTGCTCACCTTCCAGTTAGTCCCTCCCCTCACTCCCTCTTGTCTCCCAACCCTAACCAGGAATATCAGAGGCCATTTTCATTATTCTTGTACTATAAGCTTTCTTCTAATAAAGGCACCAAGGAATTTCTTTATGACATCAGGGGTCAGCAAAGTTTCTCTATAAAGAATCATGTGTTTTGACTTTGAGTGCCAGGCGGTCTCTCTCACAGCTACTCAACTCTGCCCTAGAACTGCAAAAACAGCCACAGGCAATCTGTAAACAAATGACTGTGGCTGTGTTTTAATAAAACTATTTTTAAAAAAATAAGATTTGGCCTGTGAGCTGGGGTTTCTTCTCCCTTGATCTATATGACCACGGTCCTTCATGGGCATCATCATTTTCTCCTCCTAATCGCGATTTGATTTTGTTAGGGCAGACCTGGTATGTCTTAGTGGGGACATGCCTACTGATGAAGTACATGGAAGTCATCTTTTTTATGTAGCCAGATGTGGTCAATCTTCTAAATATTAAAAGAAACAAAACCAACTTAACCTTTAGCTGCCGTCAGTGTCAGAGGTCCTGACAGAATCTGCTTAAGGCACAGTTACAACAGCCTTACCTATAGATGCTGTAGATGGAAAAAGCTTTCTTCCACTAGAGGAAAATACATAATCTTATCTGCTTCATTACAACTTAATGTAATTGGATAAAAGCTTATGGGAGAAATTATTGAAAATAGCCTATCTCTGCTTAACTATAGCCCTGAGATGCATAAATTCAAAGATAATTGTTCTCCCTTAAAACTTAATGTTTTGCCCTCTGATATTCCTTATGTAGGTCTAATTGTAAGCACACAAGGAAGAATGAGATACTGTATGTAAACCAGGGTTTCTAACCTACCTTCTTCTCAAAATATGTGAGATACCACTGAACAAGATCAGGTCACTATAATAAGACATATAGAATAAGACCACTAAAATAAAATAGAGTGAAAACCTCTGGAAAAGAAGAAAACTAAGTAAACCTAAGCAACATATAATTACGCATGCAGATTTGTTTTTTGGCTTTCTGGATGAATGGCTGAGTTAAAAAGTGGAGATGGAATGAGGACCTCCATACTATGTTATCTCAGCATAAACAGATTGTTTTCTCCTGATTCCTTGCCATTGCCTTTGTATCATCTTTGTCATGGGTGCCATGCCTCATGAGTGCCATGCCTCAGGCAATAAGCCCCACTGGTGAACATGACAGTGTCCTCTATTGTCCCCAAGGTGCTTGCTATAGTGGAGTTCATGGCATAGTCTTCTAAAAGAGTGTAACAAATGACATCTAAGCAATGGCAGTAGTCCCCATGTAACAGATGGTTTCAATCATGGGATTTAACTATAAGGAAGGCATTATCCCATGTTGTAGATAAAGAGACTGGGCTAGTGACTTGCTCATGTCATACTATTCATAAATGACTGAGTTAGAACTAACAAAGCCATTTGTCTCCAAAACCTGTGTTTTTAACCACTGAGCTATGAGTCTGTCTGGATGTGGTTTACCTATTAGAAATAAGCAAATATTGTGTACATATGCATTTAAATGGAAAAATGATATCTATTGAAACTGTTCCAGGAATGGGGAAAGAGGGGATGAAGGAGAATGGTGAAGGGGGTGAACTCACATGTGCATGGAAGCATCGCTAGGAACCTTTCTGTATAGCTATCTTTATCTGAAGCTAGCAAAAACACTATGTCTTTCTTTTTGCCTCTTACGTTTTCTCCTCAACAAAATTGGAAAAGAAGGCAGAAGGAAGTGAGGGGTGTGGGGGGGAGTGGGAGGGGTGGCCCAAACAATGTATACACATATGAATAAATGAATAAACAATTTAGAAAAAGAAATACAATGAACCTCCCCCCAAAAGGAGAATTGTAGATGTGCCTGTAATTCTGAAGTTGAAAATTCTGAAGCTAAAATAAAAATATCATTTGTGAATTATAGAAAAAAGAAGGCAGTGAACTCAAGTATGATATATTGTAAGAACTTTTGTAAATGCCACAATGGACAACTAACCAGTAAGTAATAAGAAAAGGAAAAAGAAATAAGGGAGAGGAGGCTGTTACTGCAACATTGTTCCAAAAGAAATAAAAAATAAAATAAAAGCCACAAATATACATATTGTGTGATTTTAAGTCTAGGAATCACATTAAATCGGTGAAAAGAATCGGGTGAAATGAAATTTAAAGTACAGATGGTCACTGACTTGAGGTGATCAGGGCTTGTCTGCTTTATGATGGTGTGACAGTGATACACGTTCAGTAGAAGCCATAATTAAATTTTGAATTTTGATCTTTTCTGGTGATGTATGGTATGATGCTCTCTCCTGAGGCTGGTCAGGGCAGTGAGATGCAGCTCCCAGCAGTTGTTTCCCAAGCGGGAAAACAACTGGTACTGTCTGGTTTACTGTGGTGCGAGGCTAGGATGCTTGGTAGGCTAGGTGCGTTTTTGACCCAACAATATTTTCTAGAATTTAAGGAGTATTGATATCTTTATTTAACTCACTAGGTACAAAATGTTATTTCATCATGTAATAACCATAACAATTATGACCATATTTTATACTTTTTTCATAGTAAGTCTTCAAAATCTGGCTGGAGTTTATTCCTTCAGTTCTTCAGATTGGCCTTGTCACACTTAGGCACGTACGGTTAGAGGCTACCATGGTGACAGTGCGGCTCTGCTGATGGAAGTGTGGGTTACATAGAGGTTTCCTTCAGCATCTAGTTTCTATGAAACCCAAGTCCAAAAAAGGAATTTCTTCCCCTTCTTCTTCATCATCATCCATCTTCCAGAAGCATTTATTCAGCCCCTTACCTCACACTGTGAGGGTCTAGTGCCTTCTGCTAGTTTGTATACAGGCATGAGAATTTTCCTGTTCACATGTGCAATCTTTGTGTATTTCAGGAGACCCAGGCCCTGCCAGCTACGGGAGAAATGGCCGGGATGGCGAGCGAGGCCCCCCAGGGGTGGCAGGAATTCCTGGCGTGCCTGGACCCCCAGGACCTCCTGGCCCCCCAGGTTTCTGCGAGCCAGCCTCCTGTACCCTGCAGGCTGGTCAGCGAGCGTTTAGCAAAGGGCCAGACCAGTGAAGGGTTAGTGCCGCTTGACTGTCGACGTTAACCACACCTGGTGAAGAAGCTTGGAGGAGAAACACCACCCAAAGCTGGGACCAAGACGATAATATATTACCTTCAACATGATGACAGAAGTTGTACTTGACAATCACGTTTAGAATAATGGTGCTATTCAGTAAGTCCTTTTCCCTTTCCCATAGAGGGAAGACAAGGGAGTCAACTGAAAAAAACTTTTTAAGTCTCTTTAAGTAAATTTATAATCCTCTTCCCAGGACCTTGAATTTTGAGTGCTATACATATAAGATATATTGTGAGCCACTGTGCCAATAAACAAAAACAACTGTTTGGCTTACCTCAGTTGAGTAGTTTTTTTCATTTTTAAGTTAGATGTTGTTCTCAGATTATTGATTCAGCTACGTAGATATCACAGGCTAGTTGTGAAGAAACCCCACTACATTCAATAAAATTGGTGCTTTAAATCTCATCACTGTGCCCTCTTGGGAGTGGCATGAAAAGGTTGTGTCACAGGGAATAAGTTCCTTACATTGTATGTTGGTTGTCATCTCAGTCTGAATTTTTGTTGACTTGCATGTTCTGTACCTAAAATAGCGGTATTTTGAACTCGTCTATATTAAGGCAAAGAAGCAATTATGATACCCTGACACTCATAAGTTTTACTGATGAGATTACCTATTTTAAAGGTTTGAGGTAACATCTCTAGTTGTACCAAAGAAGAAATAAATATGATTTCTTAATCTCTTGCATGTTTTCTTATAAACAGTCATGTTCAACAAAATCATTGATTAGATACATTGAAAAATTTAAATTACCTGCATTTCTATAAGTGTGTGTTTATAATAACAGTGATTTATTCTAACCAGAGTAATTTAAAAAGCTCAAAATGTAGAGCTGTATGAACTTTTTCAAAATTGTAATGAAAACTATGAACACACCCACTAGAAAAATCCAGGTGCAAATGAGTATACATATATTTAGATAGTATTTCAGAGAATTCATGGACTCTTTTAAGTTTAGTCTCACTTCGCCTAGGATAAAAATCACTGCCCTCATTTCACTGGCTTCTTAGCCACTCCGTAGAACTTCACTACTTATCTTACACCATTTCTCCTAAATTCTACAAAGCAGTCTAGCTAAAGTGCTATATTATTTTTTATTGGTACATAATATTTGTACACATTTAGGTGGTACTTTATGGCAATTCAGAACATGGATCCAATGTGTAATAATCAAATCAGGATAATAAGTATTTCCATCTTATCAATCAATATCTCTGTATGTTGGGAAATCTTGACTCTTATGGTCATTTTGAAATATAGGTTATTTAACCAATAATTACCATCCTGTGCTAAAGAAGAACCAGCACTAATTTCTCTGTTCTGTGCTTTGGTGCTCCTTGAGTCTCTTTCTGTCCCCTCCCCCTCTGCCTTTTCTAGACTCTAGTAACCATTATTCCATTCTGTTCTACAAATGACTGAGGACATGTGGTAGTCATCGTCCTGTGTTTGGCTCATTCCACTTAACATAATGATTTCATGTTCCATTTTGCTGTAAACAACAGTAGGATTTAATGCTTTTTTATGTTTGAAGAGTATTCCATTGTGTAAATATACCACATTTTCTTTTTTCATTCATCCACTGAAAGATATTTAGGTTGCTTCCATACTTTGGCTATTGAGGATAGTGTTGCAATAAGCATGGAAGTACAAGTATCTTTTTAGCATAATGATTCATCTCCTTTGGATATGTACCCAGTTGTAGAATTGCTAGATTTTATGGTAGTTCTGTTTTTAGTTTTTTAAAAGAAATCTCCATGTTGTTTTTGATAGTGATAATTTATACCAACAGTGTATAACAGTTCTCTTTTCTCTGCATCCTTGCTGGGATTTGATATTTTTTGTCTTTGTGTGTGTGTGTGGGGGGGGGGTAAAGCAGGAGACTTTATTGACATAAGAAAGTAGCAAAGAGTAGAGCTCCCAGAGCTGGGAGGCGTCCCAATAGAGGGTGTCTTTTTGATCATAGCCATTCTAACTAGGATCAGACCATCTTATGTTTTTGATTTACACTTTTTTGAAGATTAGTAAAATTGAGAATTTTTTTCATGTACTTGTTGTATGTGTTTGGTTCTTTAGCCCATTTTTAAATTTGATTCTTTTTTGGTGTCTTCAGCATTTTGAATTCCTTATATATTCTGGATTTCATTCCCTATTGGAAGAATAGTTTGCACATGTTTTCTTCCATTCTGTAGGTTGTCTCTGAATTCTATTATTTCCTTTGATGTGCAGATACTTCTAAGTTTGATATAATTCCATGAATCTATTTTTACTTTTGTTGCCTAAGTCTATGGAGTCCTTTTTTTGTTGTTGTTGTTGTTTTTTTTAAACTATCTACACCCATGTCTTGAAGTGTTTCCCCTATGTTTTATTTTACTAACTTCATAGTTTCAGTTTTAAGATTTAGGTCTTTGATCAGTTTCAGGTTGATTCCTATATACACTTCTGCATATGTGTATCAGTTTTATAAGCACCATTTTTGAAGACTGTCTTTTCTCCACTGTATATTTGTTGCACCCTTGTCAAATATCAATTGGCTGTATAAATGTAGACTGATTTCTGGGTTATCTACTCTGTTTCTGTTGGAAATGTAGGCCCCAAAAGTGACCACATGGAGAGGCCAACCTCAGTACAAAGCTTCCAACATCTACCAGCCAGAAGACTGGAAGATGCAGGTCCCATCTAGAAAGAACAAAACGTTAGGATCCTGTCTTTTAGCTAACAGCAGGCAGCCTCTTTAATAAAATGCTACCTTTTTAACAAAGAAATCATTTGTAAAGTTAGAGAAGGGCATTCAGAGGGCATTTCAGGACAATAACAGTGCCATACGGGACAACTAGTGTTAATATTTGGAGGGAAAATTTTATGCTGAGGCCAAAGGTATACAAAATTCTAAATGAGAAATTTAGAGACCACAGTAATGTCTATTTTGTTATTTCTGGAACTATAACCTTGAGCTAACAATTGGCTTACAAGGGCTGGGTCTGATGCCCTGAGGTGTGAGGTGGGGCTGGGAGCAGGACTTGTGCAAGGCGCCACTCCCTCCACACACACCTGGGACAAATGACCCTGACTGCCTAGGCCTGATCCTGTGGCCTATCGCCCCTCCCCCCTTCCTGTGTACTCTGCACACGTTTATTCAAGGGGAAGTGGCGATGGGCCGCAGTCATCACCATGTGTGGCTGGCAGCCCAGGATATACTGGGTCCTCTCTATGGATTTTCTTAGCTATGGCAGGCGTTTTTGCTGTGTCCAGAAGCCAGCATCCTGTGCACAGGTGCGCCTGTTTGCTTTCCCTCCTCCCCTTGTGGAGCAGAGTTAGAGCGTGAGCATCGCAGCTGCAGGTTTTTGTAAGCGTTTTTGTAAAGCAGCTGATTTAAAGTTACTTTAGACTGAGAGGCCTGGCAAACTAGTTGGAATAACTTAAGTCATAAGGTACCAAGCTACAAGTTTTCATGGAAGGCAGGGTCCCAGTAAGCCCAGGGAGGGGAAGGCAGACAGAGACAAAGGACATGTGGGAGGAGATAGGTATGGTAAGCAGTGCAAGAAGTCTGTTTACATGGGGAAGGAGGAGGTTTGGAGAGGAATTGGCTGATTTAGAAACTGGTTTACAGGCTGATAGAATCTGTGCAAGGGAACAGAAAGTACAGAGGGAGGGTTTGAAGTCAGCTGGATTTAGACGGAGGTATGAAAAAGCTTGGACATAATGGAATCTCTCCCCATTGTCCCGATCGCTCACAGTAGTTATATGTCCCGTAAAAGGTTGGGATCTAAAGACCCGAAAAGGGGCCAGTGACTTTGGTTGTCTAAAGGATAAGTGGGCCAGATTTGAGTGCAAAAGTGGATTAAATTTTTTGGTTTTATCTCTGGGGTCAGACCCAAGGTGTCTAAATTATTGAGGAGGCATTTTAGTGGGGAGTCAGATGGCAAAGAGGAGGTGGCCCCCATAATGGGAGCCGGTTGGAAGGATATATGGAATCACGGAGCATCCCCACGTGGCTCGAATATCCTGAGAACGGTACAAGGCGCACGAGAAGCAGTCATCACTGTGTTCAAGTGGCTTGTGGGACCTCCAGGGCCTGGAGGCTGTGGGTCACCCAGCGCCAGGATTTGCAGATGGGTGGTGTCTGAGACCGATGACAAAAATAGACCCAAGCTGAACAGAGGGAAGGGAACCCCCCTCTACTGTCTGAGTCCCAGAGATATCTGAAAAGGGGGGGTGTTTAAATCCCAGAGATACCAAAGGGAGAGACCGCAAAGGGAGTCCAATAAGGGTATGTGGACTCACCAAAGAATGTCCAGTGTTGGATGCAAGCAGGGTGATCGGGAGGATGAGTCCTGGCCAGTCATGTCCTCAGGGTGGTCGTGGGGTGAGTTGGAATGGGGGGTTCCACCAGGATTAGTGGGGAGCCCCCATCCAAGTCATGGCACCAAAATGTTGGAAATGTAGGCCCCAAAAGTGACCAGTGGAGAGGAGTGATCTCCCCAAGAGTTTCTTTATTGCCAGGTGGGAGAGGGAGAGGGCCAAAAGAGCCAAGAGAGAGAGAGAGGGGCAGGGGCTTAAATACCCCTCTGTGAGACTCGGCATGATCTGATTGGTTAGGATCTTATGGTTCATGCTGATTGGAGGTTGGGGCAGAAGGAGGATTCAAGCTAGACTTGAGGCAGGACCGTGACCCTGGAAAACAGAAGCTTAAGGGTGCAGTAAGAACCAAAACCCATTGGTGTCATTATTGCCAATAGTTTCAGTAGTTTATGTGTCTGCTTTTAGGTTAATATCATTCTATTTTAGTTACTATAGTTTGTAGCATGCCTTGATGTCAGGTTTTGTGATACTTTTTAAAAAATTTGTTTTGTTTTGTTTTATTTGTCTCTCAGGATTGTTTTGGCTATTCTGGGTCTTGTGGTTCCATATGAATCTTAAGATTATTTCTATTTCTGTGAA